AGCGGGGGGTGAGGGGTGGAGAAAGGACGATACAAACATGTTTGGATCTCTTTGATTCCATTCACTAAAGGCGTTTGAACCAAAGAAGCTGAGCTGAATGTAAGAATTCACACTTGACCTTTCTCTGGCAGTTGCAGTAGAGCTTGATTTTCATAAAGGGCTGTTAAAAGATCCCATGCCAGCATCCTTCCTATCTCCCGTGCTCCATCATGTATTCATTCTTATTCATTAATAAGGATGTGACAGTGCTTGAACCTGCCTATCTTATCAAGAGAAGTCTACTGGAACATATTCACATGAGCCATCCCTCTCTCTTATAGAAACATTTATGCAAGGGGTTGTTTTTCCAACTGCTTTAAAAACCCTTGAAGTAGCAATAACTAAACAAAGGCCTTGGCTGCTTGGTTAACATGAATAGAAGTCAAAATAAATTAAAACAGATAAAAAGATAGTTAAAAAGGCTCTTCTTAAAAACCTAAAAACTCCCCGAAAAGAATCAAGTCTTCAAAAAAGTTATATGATCTAAGAAAGTCGTTAAAAGAATCCTTCCAAAAGAATTTAAAAATTATAATGTAGCACCTTACAAGACCAACTGAGTGCATGCACAGTTCTTCAGATACACTGAAACAGAAGTCATCAGACCCTTATATATAATGAGAGGGGTGGGGAGGGAATGGTACATGAATAGAATGTTACCTTTTCTTGAACTAGTACATACTACATTTACTAAAGTTTCCACTACTTCCACTGCTTCCATCAGAGCCAGATTAATGCAATGTCAACCACATTAAACTGCCAACCATTTTTGTTGATTAAGAACCTAGTGTTTTTTAAAAATTTGTGTTAGTCAATTAACTTAGATTTGCAAATTACCTAATCCTTAATATAGAAATATTTTTGAAACATAAAGGAAATAACTTACACTTTTAAATAAACAATATCACTTCTTTTTTTTGAAACTTTGAATTGTTGATTTCATAAATTTTACATATATTTCTTTAATAGGCTCCAAACAGCAATACAGTGGTACCTCGGGTTACAGACGCTTCAGGTTACAGACTCCGCTAACCCAGAAATAATACCTTGGGTTAAGAACTTTGCTTCAGGATGAGAACAGAAATCGTGCGGCGGCAGCAGGAGGCCCCATTAGCTAAAGTGGTGCTTCAGGTTAAGAACAGTTTCAGGTTAAGAACGGACCTCCAGAACAAATTAAGTTCTTAACCCAAAGTACCACTGTATAACCTTGGAACATGTAACAGAAGATAGAAAGCAATTTTATTTTCATTCCATGCTGTAACCATATAACACCAAAATGACCTAAAGATTCATGATCTAAATGTGTACCTTTATTCCAGTTCCATTTATACATACATTATATATGGCAAATAATTCTATCTAATAGTCACCATAGTCGGGTGGTAAACAGCTGTTCAAATAAAGTGTTGCATTTCAGTGGCTGAATCACACTGCAGTGGCATCCCTAACGTATTACACCTCTTTACTTTCCTATGGTTGCCATTCATTCCTATAGAAAAGTAAAGTGCTGGGCTTGGGGACAAATGACAAGAAAGCACAGCTGAGACTGAGGGCTGTAACTGCCACTGAAAAAGATCCCACCATAATATTCTTGCAAGAGACAAGTCCAGCTACACACACACACACACACACACACACACACACACCATCAATAATAATGATGACCATTTTGCTAACAGTATACAGTGGTACCTCGGGTTAAGTACTTAATTCGTTCCGGAGGTCTGTTCTTAACCTGAAACTGATCTTAACCTGAAGCACCACTTTAGCTAATGGGGCCTCCCACTGCTGCCGCGCCGCCAGAGCACGATTTCTGTTCTCATCCTGAAGCAAAGTTCTTAACCTGAAGCACTATTTCTGGGTTCGCGGAGTCTGTAACCTGAAGCGTCTGTAACCTGAAGCGTATGTAACCCGAGGTACCACTGTAATATAATCTGCCACATGGAACAGATGCAATAGTATTACAGGGAGAAGTACGGTATTTAATGGATGCACAAATAAAATCTGAGCAAGAACAACTGATTTGGTGAAAGAATCGCTGTTAACTAATTGCCCAAGCTCAGCCTCCTCATATAAGTGGACTGACAGATATGAAGGGTAGCATAAAACCATTAAGCTTCTCTTTGATCTCACAGCTCCTATGGAACCTTTAAATCAATGAACCATGAAGCTACTCAGCTTTTCCTATTTACGGCACATAAAACTACTTTGGGGTGCCTGACACATTGCTACATTATAGATCAAAGCTAGGGAGATGCTCCAGATCTAAGCAAGATATTTGTGAGGTTTATTCTCTCCCCCCCCCCCCCGCAAAAAAAAAAACCTTTTTGCATACATTTGAATTCCAAGAGTGGACATTTTTATCTAGATTTTAGAGAAAAGTCTCATAAGTATTTAGTAGGAACTCAAAAAATAAATGGGGGGAGCTAAAGGAGGTCACAGTAACTGCAATGACGCCCAACATTTTTAATGTTAGTAGAATTTTATACAATACTGCACCATGCCTTGTAAAAACCCAAGGTATCATTTCTGGAAATAGATCGCTAAGCTCCTGTTATTGTAGCTGCATATAGTGCAGAGTTGGAAAGAGAAGCATGCGGATAATCCAATATTTCAAATCTATGGCATTTGTGAGGGCCACAGCATGTTACATTTTCCCTACATGTGCATATATGCACACAAACAGGAGCACAATAATTTCCCATGAAAGTTGCATCTGATAATGATTAATGTGTTCAGCTTAATGTTTGCCACTTTTGTGCCACCAACTTTTGGAAATGTAACAGAATACAATTATTTTAAAAATGTAGTTCAATGCATTTTGTTTATTTGCCAAAAAACCCCACCAGAAATCACGGCTGCAATTTCAGTTGGGGAATAGTCAAGCACACACAGAGGATTTTGGATAACTTCTTGCTTGTAAGTTCTTTTTATTTCCTCTTTCTTTTTAGAATTACTTTCAGGCATTAACTTCTTAAAGCCAACAGAACCTGTCCCTTTGGTATGAAGACCTAGGACGTGGGTCGTTCATTTATTTAGAACACGTCACTCAGCCTGCAGAACTAGTGATCAGAAATGCAGGTGCTCCTGATAATTTATTTATTATTGTTTAAAATTTAAAGCAACCAGTACTGCAAAAATTAAGTGTTCAGGGTGTTCTCATGTAAAACGGACCTGGTAAAAGGCATTGCTCAAACCTCTGAAGAATACAAATTTATTTGGAGAAAGACATAAATGATTTTAAAGGAGGAAACATCTTTCACCAATTTCCCCCTCCCTCAACATTTCCGTAATATTTGCTGTTAATATTCTATGTGCCTTTCTTCTAAGCTGGGATGGAATGTGCAAAACACATGGCACTTTATCTAGCATTTATATATTCCCATTTCCTCTTGCAATTAACCAGCCTGACAGTAAATAACTCTGCAACACCATCAAGTGGACAAAGTATAAAACTGAATAAAAGCCAAAGAACATTGTTTGCTGTGCTAGGTGGTTATAATGTGAACATAAGGCAACAGCAGTGGCTGGGCTACAACACCCATTTCCCCTCATTTTCACATTACAGTAACATCATTCATAGATGACGCAAAAAGACAAACCACTGAAAGCACATAATCTTAAGTGAAGAACTTTTCAGGTCCCCTTGTTTTTAAATGAAAGATTTAAACAAGGGTTTATTCTTGTTGAGATCAAAGAAGCTTCAAAGTGCTTCAGTTCGGATGGATTCTACTCTCAACTCAAAAAGTGTATTCCTGGCTGTTATACTGATGTGAGGGAGGTTTGGGGTTTGGTGGTGGCGTTTTTTGGTTCTTTTGAGAAGTTTTTTAAAAGGCTCTTTGTAATTTTGCAAAATATACCCGTTAACCACATGAAATATACTGCCTGATGCTGATTTTCCATTTAACTTCCTAGTTTTCAAACGACTAAAGGTTTTGGCAGATCTTTTTCTGAACACTCGGGGGTCAAAAGAAAGTAATTTAAAACAACTGTTGCTGAGACATTTCATTCCGAAGCTGCTAAGACAGAGCCAGACAGAGGATGATAACAGGTGGGCAGTCCTTTCTGCTGGGGATAATTCAGATGAAAATTCCCAGGTGTTATTTATATATGCTATTACTGCGGCCTGCGTTTTGTTAGCCCCCCAAAAAATGGAAAACGAGTGAAGTCCCAACTGAAGAATGGCAACTTAAGTTGACAAAACATGCACAACTTGCTGACTTAACATATAGAATAAGAGAACAAGAAGAACATACGTTTAAAGAAGATTGGAAAACGTTTATTGGATATATGGGAAATACAGCTGAAAACGCTCGCAGCATTAAGATAAGATTCCACAGTGTAAATAAGTTTTGATGGATGGAATAATGGAATACTGAATGGGATAGGTTTTGTAAAATATGCAGGGATTTATGATATGTAGAATGAACCATGGAAAGAGAAGAAAGGAAGTCATTGATATCTTAAGGATGTAAAAGGAGTATTTTAAAATGTAAAGCAGAAAATTTAGTATATATATGTGTGTGTGTGTATATATATATATATATACACACACACACACACATATATATATATACACAGAGTATATATATATACACACACACACACACACACACACTCTGTGTGTATGTATGTATATATATTTAAATATACGTATATTAAATATATATATACATATTTAAATATGTGTATATATTTAAATTTAAATATATATAGGATGGTAACAGGTGGGTCCCCACCCCCGCAGCATAAATCCTGGCTGTGCCAGCCCCCCCCTGGCATGCCATCAATTGTCCTCCTCTATTATTTTATTCAAGTTGGCCACAACAATAGCTGTTATCACTCACGTTATGGCCTCCTGCCCATGCGCAGTTCTCTCACAAAAAGCAAAGCGTGTGTGCGTGTGTGACGGAATTCCGAGCGCCCTCCGCCTTCTCCGCGAGGAAGTTTGGCCTCTGCGGGCGCCCGTAGTTGCCTTGGCAACGGCGACGGGCAGCTGCGGCCTGCGCGGATTTCCACGCCTTTCCGAGGAGCCGGCAAGCGAGCAAGGGAGGCGGCGTCGGCGGCGTCCCGGCGAGGGAGAGGCGCGCTCCTTCCTTCCTTCCCTCCCGTCCTTTTCGCCCCCGGACCGTAAGTCCCCCCCCCCACGCAGGTAGGTGGCTCGTCCCGCCTCGTCGCGTTAACGGGCGAGGGAGTTTGGCTCGCGGGGTCCTGGAAGCAGGGCAGCCCGAGCATGCGCAGAGCGCCTTCTCCTCCCCTAGCGCTGAAGAAGGTGCGCTCCCCTGAGCATGTGCAGAGTGCTTTCCCCGCTGAAGAAGACGGGGCTGTGTTTAGCGCTTGCGCGGCTTGTGCGCACACAAGACTCCAGTGCAATAACTTAGTTGGTCTCTAAGGTGCTACTAGTAGGATTTAAAAAAAATAAAATTATTTTGTTTTGACTATTGCAGACCAGCATGGCTACCTACCTGTAAATGCGATTGAGTGTTTGGGGTGGGAGGAGGGAGGCTCTGTTAATTTCATTGTACACAGGTAGTACATTGAAAATAAAAGTATTATTCTTATTATTATTAATTTATTTTCTTGGCGCTGAGCTCCGCTGGGAATCGGTAAGGTTTGTTACGCCCCTGAGAAGGTGCCCTGCTGGATGAGTAGCCTTGTCTACTGCAGCGTCAGGTTCCCTGCCAGGTGGCGCAGGGGAACCCATACGCCAGGTGTGAGCCTTTTGTGTTACGCCTTTAGGCTCCAGGTAGAAACGTTCCTCTTTTACCTGGCCTTTGGCCGATTCATATCCAATGCCCCACATCCAATTGGTAGGTGGGTGGGGGGCGTTTATTGGGTTGTTTTCCTTTGTGTCTTTATATTTTTATTTTATCTTGTGAACTGCCCCGAGGCCTATAGGGTGGTAAAACAAATTAAATTAATAGTCATAAAGATCCTCTCATCTTTGTGCGCCTCCAGCCGCTGGTGTGAAAAAGAAAACCTCCATGTTCAGGGGCCCCATCAGTAGCAATTAGCTGTATCTTCTGTGAATTTGGTCCACCCTTTTAAAAGGTCAGTTTGTAATAACTAGGCCAATGATGATGATGATGAATTAGATTTGTTCACCGCCCTATACCCGCAGGTCTCAGGACGGTTCTGACGTCTGCAATTTCCCCAAATGTGGGAAACTCAACTACACCGCCGGCGGGAACACATATTGGGGCAATAAGGCTTACTGCCTGTCCGAAATCTCCCACCCATCAGTTTCATTTCGTGACTCTGAGTTAGTATTAGCAAGAGGCAGTAAACATCATTATTCCATGTAAATGTGATTAGGATTGTAGCTACAAAAGTTAGACATTGATTAATACTTTCATGTGCTTCTATGTTACGGACTTTTGTGTTTTGAGATTGTAAACTGCCCTGTGATCCTCGGGTGAAGGGTGGTATAGAAATGTTGATACAGGCAACCATCCATTTACATTCAATGGCATATTTGAATCACCATTGGAAAAGCCTGCAAGCATCCTGTTCCGCCCTGCAACATTCCACCCTTTTTTTGTGACTTTTTGGGTCACTTCCGGGTTTGGTGCAATGCGTGTGTGCACGGTTGTGCAAATATTGAACACATGTAAATGCGGGTTTTTCCTTTAAATACTTTGTACCATAAAAGAGCTGCCTTAGATTCATTTACAGAAAATAATCCCCTTTTGGTTAACTCTGCAGGGATTTCTTCAAATGTCCATAGATCGATAGGACTCTTAAAAATGCAGATTTTCTTCTGTTGAATAGCCCTTCTATTTGAACAGTCCCTTAAGAAGAAGTGCTACCAGGATACAAATGCAAAGTGATGCCAACCAGTATCAATTTCTCTTTGTTCAGGTGTCTCTACATACCTCCCAAGGAGGTATGCAGCAAACCAAGAAATGTGAAGGCACATGTTTGAAAAATGGAGCAAGTGGTATGTCTTTACTATTTAGTGACAGCTGAACTGTGTTTTATTTACCTGCCTTATAATAAAAATTATTTTTCATTAAGAATGTAAATCCCATCCCTGCTTTCTTCTGTGGGGTCTTTTTTGTTTTTGGTGCTGCAGGAAGCAGTGGTAAAAGAACGTCTTCAGGTTCTCAAATGGCTGAGAAAACTGTGACACAGAAAAGAAAGCCATTACCCACATCATTGACTTCCCCAGATCCTGTAATTAAGCCGCAGCCCAGGCCCAGTGACAGACTTAATCCCAAAACAATTGATCCGGTAAGTACAGTCAGAACTTCTGGTGGCTACATAAAGATGTTAGCCCATTTCTTCAGAAAATTATGCAGGTGATTTAAAAAAACGTGGAGAAAAAGGGCGAATAAGGTGATAAGCACAATCTCTGCTGAACTGAGTTAAGAGTATCAAAATTTGGGGAGCAAATCTCTGCTGCTCCAGAATACTCCTTGCCATTCTCACCCTTTGATTTTTCATTCCGTCCCCACAACAGCCACTCAGCATTCAATGCCATCTGCCCAAGATTATTCCTCCTTGGCTGACTTTCTTTTCGTAAGCAATTTTTAGAAGTAACTTTGCTGGCAGATATGTAAGTTTGGAAATTCAGTTGACTGCCCATTCTTGCACCTCTGAATTCCAGGGTATGCAGTAAAATACAGCCTTAGTTTGGGAACCCTGGTTTGGGATTCTCTGTAGTCACAAGTTTTAGTGGATTTTGCCTTGTAAAGCTGCAGGCTCCCTCGGCCTGAAAGTGAGATGAGCGCCACAACCCCATAGTCGCCTTTGACTGGACTTAACCGTCCAGGGGTCCTTTACCTTTACTGCTGGTGGTCATGATGGCATTTTGTATGAATGGTTGCCTTGAGTGAAACTGTGTCTGCCTCAGGTGACAAAAGTGAGTAGTAAATGGCAAGACTTCATAATGTCTATATTTCCAAGTTCTATAATTTAGTTGGAAAGTTCTGAAAATTGTTTTTTCAAATAATAAAGTACATTCTCAGCAACAAAGAAGTGACTCTTATATGACTGTTCCTTATATGCATGCAGTAAATTATGATATTCTTGTAAAAGTGAAGCATCCCTGCTTGTCATTGTAGGTGGTTTTCCAGGCATTAGATGCACATCGCTCTTTATTTTTTTGTTCTGCATTCAGATTATTTAAATTTGCATTTTTGCACCTTCTGTTCAAGCTGTTGTATGTATGCTGTTTTTGAGATCAAATCAAAGCTAAGCATTTCAAGTCCTGTTGCTTTTAGTAGGAGACATTTAAGGACATTTAAATGAATTTTGAATTAATATGGGACTTGAAAAGCATTTTTTGACTGGTTAAATCTCCAGGTTTTAAAAATAAATGCAACTGAACTTATCTGCCTCTTGGCTGACTAACTCACTTTCGTCTTTTTATTCTAGTTTGGTGGTCAATCAAGAGCGCCTTCAGCCTTCGCTGCCATTTACTCTAAAGGGGGAATTCCTTGCAGGTAAGACTTGGGGGTCAGAAGTGGGTGAACATAAGGAACTTAGTTAAACAGTAGGCTTTGTATCATTGGTCAACATTCTGTGAAGGCTTTTGGTTTGCTTATCGTAAGAACAAATGTTCAGAAGGCATTATTAGGTGCGTCACTCAAGATTGCAAATGGGACGTCGTATATGAATGACACTAAGGTATTGCATGTCCCTCAGTTCGTAACTGGTAGGAGGACGTGTGAACATCTTTTATTCAAAAGCATGATATGCGAGGTAAATGTACTACCAGTGATGTTTTATCTGGCTGCTGGACATGGACACCAACCCTTCATGCTGTTGCCATCAAACAATGAATATCCATGTGTGAACAGGCGCTAAAAGCCTTTACTGCAGGAGTGGTTAACCTGTGGCTCTTTGGATGCAACTTTCATGACCCCTGACCTTTGGCCATGCTGACTGAGTATGACTAATGTTGGATGTCATCCATAATTGTATTAAAACAATCTCTCTTTTTTGCTTGGACAGTCTTACATTTTTAATAAGAGTCTGTTCCAAATGGGTGGTGCACCATGCTTGCAAATATCATACAAAATATTCCTAAACTCACACAGGCTTAGTTCTTTTGGAACAGTGTTTTAGGATCTTCTGCATGAAGTAGGCTCAGTACAACCATGCCTTATCGTTGATGCTTAACTTTTCTGTTTCAGGTTAGTTCATGGCTCTGTAAAACACAAATTACAGTGGGATTGTCGTCCTGAAACGCTACAGTTTGATCCTCTTCTTATAACTTTGGCAGAGGTGAACATTTTTCTCTGTTTCTTTAGAATCAAGCTGAAACTACCCTTTTATGCTGTTTTGATAATTTGTTGTTTTTAAATATGCTGGTCATCCATAAACCAAATACTCCGGCTGAATTCATTCAAATTGCAACGAAAAGTTGGAAGTAGCTTAAAGCAAAGTACCAGACTGTTAACTCTCCTCTTTAATAGATTAAAAAGTTGGGGATATTGTGTAAGTAATCTTTTGAAGAAAAGCAAAGACTGTGCGCCTCAGGGGTGAAGTCAGACCGCTGCATTAGCAGCCCTGAAGTGACCTCCCTGGCACACAGGCCTGGGCAGTCTATATGGAGGTCCTGGGCTGCCCAGATGACACGACCCTGCTCCTGGCTATACATAATCCAGAATTATAGCGAGCTGGTAGTATTCCAGTCCACTGAGCCACCTGTCCCTCTTCTTCATCATAACTCTGCATGGTCTCTGTTGATTGACCACAAACTGCTGTTCTATGGGAAAGGAGGTTGGGGAAGAAAAGGCATTAACATTGGCCAGAAACCCTGGCCTATGTGCCTATCCGTTATATATATATGTAAAAATTAAACATGTTGTCCCTGTGTGGTGATACGTTTTAACAGTTTTGTATAAATACTTCATTGTCACGCATGGATAATTGGTGAGTCGTATATTAAATATTTATATAAAAGCATTTATAAAAACACTCAATAAATTATTATTATTATTATTATTAATTAATTAATTAAGAAGCTTGTTAAGGTTTACTGTTTTACTACTGGAAGCCACCCAGAGTGGCTGGGGCAACCCAGTCAGATGGGCAGGGTACAAATAATAGGTAAAGGGACCCCTGACCATTAGGTCCAGTCGTGAACGACTCTGGGGTTGCGGCACTCATCTTGCTTTATTGGCTGAGGGAGCTGGTGTACAGCGTCTGGGCCATGTGGCCAGCATGACTAAGCCACTTCTGGTGAACCAGAGCAGCGCACGGAAACGCCGTTTACCTTCCTGCCGGAGCGGTACCTATTTATCTACTTGCACTTTGACGTGCTTTCAAACTGCTAGGTGGTTAGGAGCTGGGACCGAGCAATGGGAGCTCACCCCGTCGTGGGGATTTGAACCGCCGACCTTCTGATCGGCAAGCCCTAGGCTCTGTGGTTTAACCCACAGCGCCACCCGCGTCCCAGTACAAATAATAAATTACTAATATTATCAATATTTTTTAAATCTCTAAGCGGCTCACTTGTTGTTTTGAAATAGTTTTTTCAGTATAGCTGTTGCTGAATTTAGTTTACTATTAGCTGTTCCAGTAAGTCAAAATAGTGTTCTGCGCTTCACAGCTGTATAGCCAAGAGCAGAAAAAAAATGTTTCCTAGAGGCCTTGCCTTCTACACAGGTGCATTTTGCATATCTTCCAAAAAGAGCAATACTCCATCTTCGATTCTCAGTACTGGATATGCATAGTGATCACACATTTTTCCTGTGAGCTTCGCTCAGCCCTACTTCTGAATTGTATATATTATCTTGATTAGTGTGGTTCATTCAGGACTGCATTTGGGTGTGCAGTGCTGTATATCCTTTCGAACATCTACATCTGACCTCAGTTCCGTCTGACAAGAAAAGCCTTTTTAGTGTGCTACTGAATTCACTTCCTAGAAGAAATAGCCTGGAAGTCAATTACCAAAGATAGGAGTTTGCTCTTGGCATCTGCTTTGTTCAGTAACCCATCCAAATTACATAATTGGCATGTTTCGTTTATCTTCTGCATCTGCTACGAGTGTGCAGATATATAATTATAAGCAATAATTGAATCACATCAAACATACATTTTGAGCCGCAACAGCGTGTCAAATTGAATATTACATTTTTAAAGGCTTTCCAAATCTCTGTTTCTGATATGTGAAGAGAGAGAACACTTCTGAACATCCCTAACAAATCATCTGGTGTGCCATGATTTCTGAGGCTGCAGTGGATCATTCAGTCCTGGAATCTGCCTGTTCCCTGAGCTTCAGCTACAGGAACTGTTGAGCCACTGGGGGCATTTCTCCAGTGAGACCCTTATACACTGTGGGGCAGAAGCCTTTTCAGGACTTGGGAGTGGAGGGGGCTACTAGCAGTCAGTTGTGCCCTCAACTCCCCATGTCCAGGAGTGTCTAAATAGGGTTCTGTCAAGGAGTTATGGTTGTTTAGTGGCAGCTAAGGTTGAGTTGTTTTGTTGGAGTTCTACACGATACTGTTCTACCTGTTACAGCACAAGCAGAAGGCCTAGAAATAATTTGGATTGTGTACTGTTCCTGAATAAATGTAGAAATAAATGGATAAACAAAATGAAAGTAAGAAAATACGGTGGTACCTCTGGTTACGTACTTAATTTGTTCCGGAGGTCCGTTCTTAACCTGAAACTGTTCTTAACCTGAAGCACCACTTTAGATCATGGGGCCTCCTGCGCTGCCGCCGCGCACTTTCTGTTCTCACCCTGAAGCAAAGTTCTTAACCCGAGGTAATATTTCTGGGTTAGCGGAGTCTGTAACCTGAAGTGTATGTAACCTGAAGCGTATGTAACCTGAGGTACCACTGTACACATGTTGAGAAATTTCGGTATGTAAGATTTGCTTAATGACGTTATGTTTGATGGAGCCACAAGGTGGCACAAGTGTGTTTTGAATCCGTGTAGTGAAAAGAGTGTAATATCCTTTTTTTTGAGGTATTTGTATTTTTATCAGCTGAGATGATGGGCAGGTGGAGCTTACTATGATGTCGTTCTTATTTCTGTGGCAGGGATTAAGAGAAACAAGGCATCCGTACACATTTGTATCCAAGGAGGGCTTTAAAGAATTGCTCTTGGTGGCAGGTGCTGCTCAGAAAGCCATTCCGTTGTTGCCACGGCTAGTTCCGGTATTGAAAGCTGCTCTGGTATGTCTCTCCCATTTGTGAACTCGTATACACAACGTATTGTAAAGTTTCAGAGATCAATAAATTTTAGGTGGCCTTGGTGGACCAAATATTTGCAAAGCCCAGGACATCTCCCTACCCAGAGAGCAGCGTCTTTGTCCCTGGCCTCGTGTGGCATTTGGAAACAGCACAGGTTTGATGACAAACCAGGGTACTCCTTCTGTGTCCAGCACAAAGCCAGAGAGGGGCAGTGATGTGCTGTGGGCAGCCTCTCCCCCTTTTAGATGGCTGGAGCTCCGAGCTCCAAAGAGGCGCAGAGTCCATTCAGTCATACCTCTTCTTGCGAACGCTTCATGTTGCGTTTCTACGGGTTAAGAACACTGCAGACCTGGAAGTGTTTACTTCCGGTTTTCGCTGCATGCGCAGAAACGTTCTGCACAGTTCACGCATGCGCAGAAGCCCTCTATCGCACTTCACACATGCGCAGAAGCGCCGCTCTGGTTACGGAACGGATTGTGCCTACAACCAGAGGTACCACTGTATTTCTTCTGCCCAGATATATTGATTGATTGATTGATTAGATAGATTTATAATTTGCTTTTTGAAAACAATCGTCACATGGTAGCTTGCAATATGTATAAAGTACAATTCAAAACTAGTGAAGTACAGTGAAGGCACCTGCCGGGTGGCTGGAGCTCAAAAACTGACAGATGCAATTAAAAGCCTCCAGTGTGGCTCTGCCGTCCCTTCCTGCAAGGGCCATAGGGGTGGGTGTGCTCCTTTCATCTCCATGCTTGCCCCGGTGGTTGGAACTCCAGCAGACACAGGGGCAAACTTCTGTCTCTGCTTGGGGCTGGAGGAGGGGCAGAGAACATCGTTCCCCCTTTGCAATTCCAGTGTTGCAAGGCAGCCTCCGACTCACCTGTCTTTGCAAGGCATGCATGATCCCTTGCAAGCAAGGTTGTTGAGCCATGTATGGTTTTAACCATTCTCAGTTTAATCGACATTGGCTAGAATCCTCGGAACATGTGCACAAAACATTGACTTGAAGGTATATGGAAGATAAAATGATACCCACAGATGGCTCAGTTGATCTGGATTTTAGCCCTGCTCTAGAGGTTTTCAGCAATTTAGACTGCTCATGCTATATTATATCTGGATTGCAACTGCTATTAGCATAGAATGGTGTTCAACTGAGTTTTACTCTAGAGTAATCCCATTGAAATTAAAATGTTAGAACCATTAATGAACACGTTAGAACCATTAATTTCAACAGGTTTACTTTAAGTAAAGAAGCGGATGCCAAGGGCTGCACATAAACAAAATGCAGAAATCCCTTCTCAGAAGCTAATAATAATAATAAAAAAATGAATTGAAAGAGGATTGAATTCGAAAGTGCCATCCAAGTGCACTCAGAAATAATCTCATCCCATCATGCCACAGCAGTATTAAAATCCCACCACATATTTTTGTTCTTTTCCCTCCTGCCTACATTGTAAACCGTAAACCATGGTCGCTTCCAGCTGCTGCTCACCTGTGCAGTAACAGGCGGAGCTGCACAACCCTAATTTGTCCCACCTCCTGGATCATGTAGACTGGATCCAGTAGGTGGGGTGAAAGAGGGTTGTTCAGCTTGTCAGTAAATGCATTGGGGAAGTCTCTTTGTAGTAGAATCATAGAATCATAGAATCATAGAATCATAGAGTTGGAAGAGACCACAAGGGCCATCGAGTCCAACCCCCTGCCAAGCAAGAAACGCCATCAGAGCACTCCTGACATATGGTTGTCAAGCCTCTGCTTAAAGACCTCCAAAGAAGGAGACTCCACCACACTCCTTGGCAGCAAATTCCACTGTCGAACAGCTCTTACTGTCAGGAAGTTCTTCCTAATGTTTAGGTGGAATCTTCTTTCTTGTAGTTTGGATCCATTGCTCCGTGTCCGCTTCCCTGGAGCAGCAGAAAACAACCTTTCTCCCTCCTCTATGTGACATCCTTTTATAGATTTGAACATGGCTATCATATCACCCCTTAACCTCCTCTTCTCCAGGCTAAACATGCCCAGCTCTCTTAGCCGTTCCTCATAAGGCATCGTTTCCAGGCCTTTGACCATTTTGGTTGCCCTCCTCTGGACACGTTCCAGTTTGTCAATGTCCTTCTTGAACTGTGGTGCCCAGAACTGGACACAGTACTCCAGGTGAGGTCTGACCAGAGCAGAATACAGTGGCACTATTACTTCCCTTGATCTAGATGCTATACTCCTATTGATGCAGCCCAGAATTGCATTGGCTTTTTTAGCTGCCGCGTCACACTGTTGGCTCATGTCAAGTTTGTGGTCAACCAAGACTCCTAGATCCTTTTCACTTGTACTGCTCTCAAGCCAGGTGTCCCCATCTTGTATTTGTGTCTCTCATTTTTTTTGCCCAAGTGCAATACTTTACATTTCTCCCTGTTAAAGTTCATCTTGTTTGTTTTGGCCCAGTTCTCTAATCTGTCAAGGTCGTTTTGAAGTGTGATTAGCTGCTGCTTAATTAGCTGCTGGCTAATTAAGCTTCTGTGTGGTGGAATACCTGTTTATGGTGGTTTGTGATCATTCGTTATCAAAACTGAAGAAGCATTACTTATGATCCTAGCCCTCTTTAGACGCTCATGTTGAACATGTAAGGGCCAAAAGTGTGTAGTGGGCTCGCCTGGCCCCCAACATCCCCATGAGTCCGATCCGCTCCACCCTGACAATCCCACATTGCATAGAAATGTCCGAAGGGACTTTCTATGCATGATTGACTTAGAAGTCTCCCCACAATCAGTCAAGTACTCTTGAGATGCAGAATCCAGTTTTAGTTGTGGACAAAAGGCCCTTTAAAACAATTAGCACTTGATGATGTTGGCTAACTCCACTTAATCTACATTCTAGTAATTAATAATATTACAGCAACTGCCTAATTGCAAGGGGTTATCTATCAGTGCTTCTAATGGGATTTGTTCAAAGTGTTTGTAGACTTTAAATACTGCAGTTTTACTGTGCGTGTTTCTGCAGACAAAGCAAATAGTTTTTATGGTTAGATCTTGGCTGCAAACCTAAACAGGGTATTGAGGAGTGAGTCCAGTTGAACACAGTGAGACTTACTTCTAAGTAATCATACATAGGATTATGTTGTGTTGAATATTTAAAAGTGTTTATCTGAAACTGGTGAATACATATGGGTTGCATTAAAACAGTGTTGCATATTGCAGAGTAAAAAACCAGATAAATATTTTTCAATCTTTCCATGCTGGAGCATAAAAACAATCTATTTGGTGCATGCTGTGGGCTAATCATTTGTCTGGTCAATTGGTTTCCCCCTTTATTAAAGGCCCATTCAGATGGCGAGGTATTTGAAAGGGGACTGAACGCTTTGATACAACTGAGTGCTGTTGTTGGCCCTGCGCTTAATGATCACCTGAAACATCTACTTTCAAGTGTGAGTACAATATTTGGCAGTGGGTTTCTTGTATTTAATAATAATAATAATAATAATAATAATAATAACTATAATAATTTTTTTTATTTATACCCCGCCCTCCCCAGCCAAGGCCGGGCTCAGAGCGGCTTACAAGCAATAATAAAAACAAGTTGAATGATTACAACTTAAAAACAAAATTAAAATACAACATTAAAATATTACAACATTAAAATGAAATGTAGCCTCAACGCAGGAGGAGAAGGAAAGAAAAAAAGAAAGAGAGGGAGGGAATCAAATTGGCTCCAAGCCAAAGGCCAGGCGGAACAACTCTGTCTTACAGGCCCTATGGAAAGCAATCAGATCCTGCAGGGCCCTGGTCTCATGAGGCAGAGCGTTCCACCAGGCCGGAGCCAGAGTTGAAAAGGCCCTGGCTCTGGTTGAAGCCAATCTAATTGTATTCTTGTATCCTGAGAAGCATTTGTTTCAGTTTGTGGCACATCATAATCTAGATTCCATGGGCTAATATATTAATAGCATGTTGGCATTTTCACATTTCTGAACACGGCTTGTGGCATGCCTATTGAAGATGCTCCTTCAGCCATGTTTTGCAGCATGGAACGTGCTTGATAGCCCTTGTCCCAGTTTTCCAATTCCATGCAAGCAGCAAAATAAAGTTTATCAAGCTGCTCCTGTTAGGACTTGCATTCAGTTTCTTGAGTCACAAGTTGGTGGAAGCCTGAACGTGTAAAGATGCTATGGTCCCTCCGAATCTGTGAAATTAAGACTGCCTCTTATCAGTCATTGTTACCAGGATCCATTATTCACAATCTCGTTGGTGCTTCTCCATGTAATGGGTACAAAGGAGGACGTTGCAGCTACGTTCAGCAAATAAACCCACTATTGTATTTTACTTTTGCCACAGCTTTCAAAGAGACAGATGAGCAAAAAGTACAAAGAGCAAACTACAGATGCCTTACAGAAGCTGGAGCAGTATGGGGGGAAGGTAAGCTCAATTGATTGGTCCGCTCCTGTGACATACCTAGGTCAGAATTTGTTTCTCCTGTTGTCTTCGCTATCTCATAGTGTTAGGTTAAATCCATTGCATGCAGTCAAGCTGTCATACTCTGATGATGCACGATCAAGTTACAATTCCATATTGCAATTCTCCATAGTTTGGAGACAAACATAGTAATTACACTTACTTAAAAACATTTTTAGTTTAGAGGTGCTCTTCGTGAAGGGCAAACTTGGCAATACAAAAATGCCAAGTGTATTGATGGTTCTGCATTAATAATAACAAGCAGCCAAAACAGAGGCAGCCAATATGTTTGTCTAGGTGCTGTGGACTCCAATTCCCATAAGCCCCAACCAGCATGGTCAACAGCCACTGATGGTAGCTGTTGTATCCCAGAACCTCTGGAAGGTGGCATATTGTCTATCCCTGGTCTAAAATACCAGTTGACGAAGGAAAGATAATCATAGTTTGCATTCTACATGTTTGTAGTTCTGAACCAGCTTTGATTTCAGATATAGTTTATTTCAGCATCAACCTAGTACCTACCATATTAAATTCTCATTTTTATCAACAGGAAAGTTTGACGGTTATAAAAGCTAAAATTCCAACTTACTGTTCAATCTCCTCCTAAAGAGAGATGTGACGAAGAGCCTCCTTGGAACTATTTGGTATTACTTATCTTCCCCATACTAAACTGTTGTGGAATGTCTCAGGGAAACGGGGATCAGTATTTAAAAATGAGGACAAATGTTAAGAGCGAATATGCTCAAGATGGGTAATTTATGGAAAACACCAGAAATGATACTTATTCCAGTACTTCCGCCAGGAATTGCAAATCAATTTGTCTGGTTTATTACAGTCAATAATAGGGATTGCCCAGTTTTGTAAACTATAACCATAACAGTAACATTAATACTTACTTGCTGTGTTTACATGTTTGGGTATAGTTAGGTATGTTTAGCAACTGCAGTGAGTTAGAAATGAAGGCACAATCCAACCATAAGTTAATCACTATTAAAAGTTATGCTGACTTCAGTGGGAAGTTAAAATCAATAGGATTTGAAGGTGTTTGACTTTGCCTGGATTGTGCTATGATTAATTTATTTTGACCAAGAACTAACTCACTACTGTGTCCATAGAGAAAATTATTTTTATAGTGTCTAGGGAAAAAGCCTTCTTTCCCAAAAGGTTCTGGATAGGAAAATATATAAAATGTGTTTCACTGAACTGAGTCCTCTTTTAGTGCAAATTGTTCTGCTTTGAAAACATAGAAATTCCAAGTATTAAAAGACAACTAAAATATGCTTCAAGTATTAAAACTTATATATTAATAAAAGTGTTTGTGAATGTTGACTCCATGTAAGCAAGCCCTTTGGAAAAACAAACTGAACCGCCATTCTGCATTTTTCATATTATTATTTTTTATTAAAGTGCACATATAATTTTCACAAACACTACAGCAAATTTCAAGTGTACATGTATTGTACTACTCATATTCCTACACTGGTGATAGCAGAGCAGCCTTCAACATGCCTCATTCCCATCTCTACACCAGAATAGATGCCTGCTTTACTTATATTTTTGCAAAAACAGTTTGCAGCTCTCTTTGGACTTCTGTAAGCTCTTCAGATCCTTTGTGCAGAAATGTCACAATTAAGGTTTGCAATTGTCTGGTACCAGTAGTTATATGCTTGTGGGCAGGCATGTAAGAATGATTTGAATATGTTGGAGGGGAGGGGGGCAGACGCCTCTTTGCTGGCTACAGTTCAGCAATGATGTCTGTGTAAAAGGCAGGGAGGAAGGGACCCTGCTTGTACCCATTGCTGCTCCATCCTGACACATGCTTCTTCCCTCTTCCCTGTAGTAGCCTTTAAAGAAAAAAAAGTTGCCTCCCCTTTCCAAAAAAAACCATTACCACCACTGCTCTTACATAACTGTTCTAATGAACTTATGCATCTTCCAGCATAGTCGGAGGAGGAAAATAATTTCAAAACTTGCAGTCCAGTGTCCGGCATGACTCTATACTGCTATGTATCCTGAGCAGTGAGTGCTTAGAAACTTACAAATACATTCGTTCCTTTTTTACTACTAATTTTGGGCCAGTCCCACAGTTAAAAAGTAGTAGTTCAGTTCCCTTGGACAGTTGCTTTAGTTAAACAAAGCAGCACTCATTGTAAAGCTAATTTCTACCCTTTATGTGGGAGCGTAACACTTTAGTTAAAATTCAGACAGAATTTTACATAAACTGGTGATCTTAAAGATGGAAGATGTTTGCCATAGGCAACCATTCACTAAATTGATCCAGTATCCATCTACTATAAAAAAGAACATTCTTTTATAAAATGGGTTGATAGTGAAGTTAAAAAAATAATTGCAGGTTGCTACACAAAGATGGTCAACCCTTATGTGGACAGATTCTCCACTGAGCATAATGGAGTCTGTGTGTCTTCTGGGCAGGGGGCGAGGTGGATTAGATTACCTTCAGGGTCCCTTCCAGCTCTGGGCACAAACTTACATTTGACAAGTATGCTGTGTGCTCCATCATTATGGGGAATAGGGGACACGGGCAGGCTCAATGCATGCAGACCTCCCCTTTCCAGTAATGATCTGTTGTGATGTCAGCATAAGGGGAAGGCAGAGGAAACAGGACTCCACTGCACACAAGGATGATTGTGCCCAAACTGTAATTAGCTGTAATACCTTTAACTGAGAATTGTGTAAGATTGCGTTCATACACAAGGGAGTATAAAATGAAAGAGTTTTATAGCTAATAAACTCATCTAATAGAAACAAGTAACAGATCCTGCCCTCTTCCTCTCTCCTGGATATCTCCTATGAAGTTTTGGATGCAGTAATTCCGTTTTCATTTTGGTTTCTTTGGATTGTTCTCTGAATCAAATGAAGTTTTTTTAAGGACAACTACGTGAGCATTGTTTAAGAGAACTATTTGACCTCAACTACTGGAAAAATACGGTCTCCGTAGGAAGGCTTTGATTAAACGAAACTTATTTGCATTATACACATCCGTGTAAAGCTGAGCAATCCTGTTTCATGGTAAAAGTGGCAACAGCATTATGGATTTGTTGTTGCAGGATTGTTCATACCGTCCATTTATTGAAGAAAGAACCGCGTCGAGTTAGATCACATTTTCAAAGAGCTGCATGGAACGCATTATATTTTCATCCTGTAAGAAAGAGACATCTCATCTGAGAAAGAGATTTAAAATCTGAAAGTGAAAAGTCAGAAATATTTTTAATCCAATATTTTCCTCCTTAGGCTGAAAAACCACACCCTTTATACATTTTCAGTGTCATAAGCAGCTAAACGTTAGTATCTACTCTGGGTATGTCCAAGGGCTTCCAAGTGGGATTTTTGATTATTTTCTTTGACTAGATTTCTCCTATACCACTGTCACAAATCCTGCAAGTCTGCTGACTGTGCAGTTTTGCTCTAAAGCCTAGTTTATATGTGATGCAGGCCACAGGTCTGCCCAGTGTTCTATACAGGCCCCAGTACGTTTGAAGACACATTGTTCTGCTAATAGTACCTGCTGCTTACAGTCTATCACAAATAATTTACAGAGAAAACATTGTGGGGAGCTGCTAAAGTTTGGCGATGGCATACAATTGCAATCACAAGTCTAAAAATTAAACATGTAACTTGCACTGCTTCTGTCTATCAAATATACCTTGCTGTTTATAGCAAAATCTTGATAAAACACAATGGAGGCAACAGGCACAGAACTTTGTAGGAATTGGCTTAAGAGGTTCAGCAGCCATGTCAACCTTCTGCTGTTCTTGAGATGCGCCACAACCGCTACTGCAGAAGAAGCCAGTGGGAAACCTCTGGCTCTCACACAGAATGTGCAAGGAAAGGGGAAGGCCAACCAGGGCCACAGGTTGTGTTTGAGGTTGATCAGATCTGCTCCCTTAACTTTTAGCTTTTATTTTAAAAAGAAACCCTTTTGGAAATCAAGGGGAAATAGGCACGCAATATCCTACACAGTTCACTGGTAAAAGGTAAATTTCTTCTTACCTATTCTTGGCCAACGAGTGCAAAGGTCTTGGGATTATTGACAGACAAGTGACTTGCTTGTTCATTTTATTCTCAGTAAAATGTTGTCTTATCCAAATGAATTAATAAGCTACTTTAAATACAGTAATCCTGCAATTTACGCAGGGGTTATGTTCCGGGGATCACGCCTAGAGCCAAAATAACGTATAGTCAAAGCATACTGGGATCAGTGGTGGGCGGGATTGCCAAAGTCGCATCCCCCAAACGTTGCCCCGTTTCTGCCCCCATTTATTTATTTATTTTGCCATGTGCATAAAGATGAATGAGCACAAGTTAAAGGTGCGTAAGTTGCAGGCTTATGGTATAACATATTCAACAACTTAAATTTAGGGTTTTTGCTGTTTTGCTTTGACATGATTTCCATCCTAATGTACACCTTAAAACACCAGGGTATGAGCCTCCCAACTGTGCATTGATTTTTCCAGTGCACTTTGGCTACAGTGGGAAAAGGTAACTTTGCCAACCACTAGATATGACTTTGGCAGAGGAAGGCCTTCCTCTGTGTTCTATTTATACTGATGAAATGGGGAACAAAGAGACTATTCTCCAGCTTAGAGAAATTGCCTGGACAACCATTGATAAGTGAAGGGTTTTTATCTCAAAGGGCCTTCTCTGAAAAGTGACTGTTCTTTTTTATTGAATGTGCCACTGCTGCTTCAGTCTTTATGGCATCTTGTTAAAATTATTTCGGTTTACCGGATATACATTTTATATGTTCTGACATTTTCTCAAATAATTAAGGAGCATGTTGAGTAACAACATCCAGTGTGATCTCCGAGGCCTGCCCTGTTGCATGTTAGAGAAACGCTTGCTGGATATTGGATTCTTATTGATTCTCACAGAAGGAAACTGTGAATGTTCAGCCTGGGGGAAGGAAGACAGGGCAGGATAGGCTGACACTATCTTCAAATACCTGAAGGACTGTCATATAGAATCCGATGAAGCCTTGTTACTAGGTGCCTCAGAGAGGAGGACTAGATCTAATGAGCTAAGTTGAAGGAGGAGAGAGATTCTGGTTACATAAAGAACTTTTTGGTGTGGGCAGTTTGACAATGGAGCCAGTTACGTAGAAGCTCTCCCTTCCTGGTAGTCTTCAGTCAACATCTGTTGGAATATGTGCCACCTCTGGATTTCTTGCACTGAGCAAGGAGCTGGACAGGTGAACATGGTCTCCCAATGGCCTTTCCAGCTCTATGATTCTATGAAATAATAAATGTGTTTTCTAAAATATGGACAATTTGTGAAATACCGTACATGCCGCAGCTTCCTACTGCGGTTTTGTATTGTGTCATAAGAGCAAAGCACTACGAATATACCGGTTACTCACTTTTTGGCAGCTTTCAATGAACTCATCTATGGTGACCACACCATCTTTGTTCTTGTCCATTTTCTGCCAAAGAAGAAATGCTTGCTTAAGTAATGTTGTTCTCCGGTTATGACTGCCGCCTTTCATTTCTATGAGAAGCCAGGTTTGGGGACAGGTGATAGCATAATGGCTACCTAAGAAACTACTCCTACACTCGCCGACATTTTATATTTCTTTTAACAAATCACAGGTGCTGAGCTTCAAATTTGCGGGCGTCTCAAACATTTTACCCACCCAAATGAAAGACTTGCAAAGTAGGCAAGACAAAAACGGAAATGAAGAAGGAAGGGGATTTGCTTAATCAAATTAGTATAGGCAACAAAGCAAGAAGAGCAGGTTACATAGCCACACTGCAAACTATCAGTACGATAATTATGACCATCATTTCACCTGGCTCCCCTCCCCTCAAATCTTACCTACCTGGAAAAACGTTTCCACGTGTTGTCTTGGGGCATCTTCTTTGACAACAGGATAAGTGCATTTCCCCATCATATCATATATAGCTTTCATAATGTCCAGCATTTCCTGTTGGGGAGGGAACAAAACATTAAAGTGAGCAGGAAAATATGCAGTGGAAAATGCACAATTGGGAAAAGAGTTGCATTTACAAGACAGAAGCCTTGCTAGCATAGAAGCGAAAAACCTTCCCAAAAATAATGTGCAGATGTTTCATTTGCAATGATGAAAAAGTAGTTGCATGAACTGCTAGAAATCAACATTTCTTAAGTTGCTGCGTGTTGCAGCTATCCCCAGCTGTCTTTTGCAGTGGAAACACATTTTCCTGTAGAAATGCCATCTCTGGATAAATCAGATGTTTACATGCCTACAGAAGCATTTTATCTGACCCAGGTAAAGGTAAAGGGACCCCTGACAGTTAGGTCCAGTCACGGATGACTCTGGGGTTGCGGCACTCATCTCGCTTTACTGGCCGAGGGAGCCGGAGTACAGCTTCCGGGTCATGTGGTCAGCATGACTAAGCCGCTTCTGGCAAAGCAGAGCAGCGCACAGAAACGCCGTTTACCTTCCCGAAGGAAGTATTTATCTACTTGCACTGTGTGCTTTCGAACTGCTAGGTTGGTAGGAGCAGGGACCGAGCACACTATTTCCCCTAATATTCCACCTGCCTCTTTCAAAAGCAGTGTAAGAAATGGCCATCAGGTGGAAGCAGAAGATTGAGATAAACCCCATTGTGCCTCTTGTTTCAGGAACCATCATAGCAAACCCCTCCCATTATTGGAATGCTGAGTGAATTCCATTTAAAGTAAGGAGACTCGGTCTTTATACTTAACAGAGGTTCAATTTGCATTGAAAAGAAGACACTAAACAAAGTCAAGCAGCTGGCAGGGACAAATCTGAATTAAATTTCATTTCAAATGGTTATTTGGCCAAATCAGACACTTGCTCACTCCCTCTTGTAGGTTTGCTGTCCTGCCGCCTTTTGCTATACTGAATTTTCTTCTCTCCCTTGTTTGGAGAGAGTTTGCTTCCGAGTGAGTACTCAAACTTGCAAATGTACACACATGCCGACAGAAATGGAATGACGGCAACTTTAGCGCTTGATTTGGCTGTTTGCATAACTTAGCCTGGGTGGGCAGGTGACTGGTGTGCATGGAGAGGTTAGCTTGAGTGCGGAAGCAACCCAAGCAGATGCTTGAAGCAGAAGCATTTGGCAGTGTTATCACGAGATCTCGCACTGGAGCAGAGGTGAGTGAGTCCCAATGTTCTGTATACAAGGGATCCTGTTATTCGCCTCTTAGACTACAGCCATTTGGGATAGCAGTCCCTAGTCCTGGAATTAATCTACTAAAACCAATAAACAGCAGCCCCGTTACATGCAATTAATGACAAGTGATGAAGATGAAGATGATGGATTTTTCGGAGCTAGCCGACCTAACCGGAAGAGTCCGCGACCAGAAGGAGGAGGAGTATCAGGAAGAATGGAATAAATTTAATGATTATGTAGTTAAATTTGCTAAGTTAAACTAACTGAAAATAGCTTGCAGATACTTAATGGGCTAAGGATTTTATTTATGTTAAGTGATGAATTAATATGTTTAATTTCATAAGGTGAAGATCTAAGGATGTTAATGCTTAAGTTAAATTTTATAAAAATTGGGATTTGGAAAACTGTTAAAAGGGCATGCAATGAAATTCAACCAAAGGGAAGCGAGGAAGTCACTTAAAGTTAATAACTGTAATTTTCAATAAGGCTATGTTTGTTTGTCTTGTGTGTGTGTTTGTTTGTTTGTTTATAATATTGTGAAAACTAATAAAAAATGGGGGGGGGAATGACAAGTGTTTTCAAATTACAGTGAGTGAAATGGTCTCCTCACCTCTTTAGTTATACAGCCGTCCTTATTTATATCATACAGATTAAAAGCCCAGTTGAGTTTTTCTTGTACCGTCCCCCGGAGTAAAATTGAAAGGCCCATAACAAAATCCTGAAAGAGAGCAAGATGGTGGATTAATAAAAGATCTATTTCCATCTATTTTGCTGTGAGTCCTGCAATGCAGAGGTTTGGACTTGGTGACCCTATACTTCTATTATCTCCGTGTGCGTGTGTCTGTGGTTGAGATGCAAAATTTGCCATCATAACGAGGCTGCTTTTTAAAAAATATCTGCAGAAACCAAAACCAAACAAGGTTGACCTCAAAACAGAATGGCAGTTTTGCCTCCATCCCTCGCATGGAAGACCCAAAGCATGAAAGCTGACAGTCCAAAGTTAGGGACCAATGGCTAAGTATAGAATAATAGAACTGTAGAGTTGAAAGGGACCATGATGGTCATCTAGTCCAACCCCCTGCCATGCTGGTATCTTTTTTCACAACTTGAACTCGTGACCCTGGGATTAAGAGTCTCATGCTCTACTGACTGAGCTATCCCTGTCCCGGCAAGAACAAGCACAAATAACAAAAGCAACTAGGGCTGAGCATGCAGGACTGGCCTATTGAACATACAGTGAATAACTATTTTATTACAGAGAATTCCTGATAACAACATTATAGAAGTGTAAAAACAGCTGTGAGTCACCTTGGGATTATTTATACTGGAGGGTGGCCTAAAATAGAACAAACAATAAGTGGTACATCCAATTTTGTATGAGAAAGTAGTCTTCTTCTGCACTTGTGCGTTAGCCTATGGGCAATAAACTCAATTAATTTAGTAATATAGAAGCTTCATCCCGAGAGGAATAAAAGTAATCTGAAAGTTACTGGGAATTTATTTCTGGTTGGCCACTGTGAGACTAGGATGAAATAGGAGGCAAGCATTTGGCTTGATCCAACAAGGCTCCCATTATTTTTTTTATGTAAAGCAAAACTACATCAAACAGAGCAAGAAAGGTGAGGTTGTAGTTGCTGACCTCGATGTTGATCAATGAACAATACTCTTGTGGGCTCTGCATATCGGGAAAAAGACTCAGGAAAATGCAGACTCTTTCCCCAACCTCTAACCCAATCTAGCTAATTCATGGCACATCCTGATTTTATCGGCTTAAAACCCCAAGGGAAGAGGCTCCATGAGGCACTATAATCACCGGCAGCCCCATTAGCACTCGTTGGAATCAAGGATTAGAACCGTCCATCGGACTTACACACAGAGAGAACATTTGCTGGAGCTAAGTGCATGTTGGCCTGTGTAAAATGAAAATAACTTTCTTAACATAGCCAGTAACAAAGACCAAGATTGTGAAGGCCTGATGCATTCCTGTATTTTATAAACATTATAATGCAGCAACATCCTAAAGAAAGCCAACAAAAAAATTACGGCTTTCTTGTGGCTGTTCTGTTGTGATGTGATAGGAAACAAAAAACCTGAATCTGGTCGTTCTGGTTGGCACGCTAATAGGACTGCGTCTGAAAATAGCTCTGTTGGTAAACCTGTTTGCTTTCCTCCCTGCCTATTCAAACTCATACTCCTTTCAGAAATCTCCCACTCTTCATATAGCATTGTTCACAAGCACCAAAATACCGTTTGAGCTATAAGGGAGGCGAAAAGATGACCAAAAAACCCTACTCCTTCATATTTTGCTCCAGACAATAGAAAGGATGGATCAGCAGACAGGCACATAAAAGATTTCATGGGATCTGTTTTGAAGTGTTGGTGCCAAGAGCCTCTCTCTGGGCTCTGATACTCTGAGATTAGAAAGAAAAGAGGAGATGTTCCCAAGCTGCAAATGAAGGCATCCGCCATTCTGCTGGTCGGCAGCACGAGCTTTCCGAAAGCCATTTTGACATGAGAGTTGACGGACAAGCATTCAGGGACAGGACTGGGAATTGCCTGTGATTAAACAAACCTAGCAATAGGTCCCCTATATTTTCGCCCCTGTCTGTTGAAAAGAATGTGTAAGGAACACTTCGACGGAGGGAAAGAGAACCACGGTAAACAAACAGCGTCTCTTTTTTCAACAGGGTTAACGCATATTTCACTTGTGTCATCTGAGGAAACCAGACGGAGATTATTTATTCACCCCTAGCAACATAGCAGATTTATATCTGAGCCTAAGAACATTTACTTAGAGATGTACATGCTACTGATGTCAAAACAGCTTACATGTAAGGGACTGAGCTTTTGGGTCACAACCTTAAAGGCTTTATCCCGCATATTGCTAGCAAATACTTTAGAATTCCAAGCCTGGTCACTTCTGGCAGACACTACCCCTATTTTAAAAGAAAAACACTCGTCCTCATGGAAAATACTACTAACCTTATTTTAATCTCACATTTAGAATAACATATAGAAACAAGGAATGTATTGGAAGACGAAGGAAGTTGAAGATGAAGAATTGACCCTGGCAAATTAAAAGATCTCCCTTTTCCACATCCTTTTCCTTCTTTCTCTAGTTTCATAGCAGAACTCATTTTAACCTTTTCCTAACTGATATCAATTCGTCAGGGAACAGGGGAATGAAAGTAGGAGGGCTAGAATAAATCAGAATTTGTCTAAGGTAATATTTTATTGGCTTTTACTATGCTATTAAAGCATCGGTTAATCTTTGCATATTTAGTAAAATATTGATACAATTATGAGCTTTTACAGTAATTTCTGTTTCTTTCTTGGAGTAAGTCCTACTAAATCCAGATTGCAAGTAAAGATACAACACATTCCATTTAAGACCTTTCTGATCATTTGCGTATCTTTTTTATACATTACAGCTTCGTTGTTGTTAATGAAACTTTGAAAAGTCATGATAGTTCAGAAAACTGAAGTGCAGCCCTGTTGAACTCTGTGGGAGAGTTCTGAAAAATATGCTTAACCCTCTCACTGGAATCAAAGGCACTTTAAACTTTGGCTGGATCAGATCGTACTAGAGAAACCAGGTGACAAGAACAGAAATAAACAGGCTTACCTCAAAACTCACACTTCCGTTGTGATCTGTGTCAAATGCGTTGAACAGAAAATGTGCGTATGTTGTGGAATCTGCAATGTAAACAAGGTTGTTCCTTATTAATTGCATTAATAAAGAAACTTAATTCAGCAGCCTTATAAAGAAGAACATTTTCCCCCCAACCAGTGGAATTCATCGCCAGGCTTTAATACTTTAATTTACTGGGAACATTTAGGGAACTAGTCCATTTACCATATACCACCGCCCCCAACGTAATTCTTATTTTCCTCTGTTATGAAAATTATAAGGTCTAAGATATAAAATGTCCATGGATGCACCAGGCAAACACATGCATGGATCTATAAACCACATGTCTGAAACAGTACACGAAAACAGTCCTGAAACCATTTTGACTCTCCCAAATTGACCTCAAATGTTTCTCTGTAAGGAGGAAGGAAATGGAAAAACCTCCCCATTGTCTCTTTGCTCACAAATCCTGTCTTAAGGGTATATATTTGTGTATGAATAGGGACGCGGGTGGCGCTGTGGGTTAAACCACAGAGCCTAGGACTTGCCGATCAGAAGGTTAGCGGTTCAAATCCCCGTGATGGGGTGAACTCCCGTTGCTTGGTCCCTGCTCCTGTCAACCTAACAGTTCAAAAGCACGTCAAAGTGCAAGTAGATAAATAGGTACCACTCTGGCGGGAAGGTAAACGGCGTTTCCGTGCGCTGCTCTGGTTCGCCAGAAGCGGCTTAGTCATGCTGGCCACATGACCCGGAAGCTGTACGCTGGCTCCCTCGGCCAATAAAGCGAGATGAGCGCCGCAACCCAGAGTCGGCCACGACTGGACCTAATGGTCAGGGGTCCCTTTACCTATGACCTGGATTCAGGAACTGAGTATTTGCCACCACAAAAGAATGGCCAGGATGCCCAGGGAAAAGCAGTCGGTGACCATTATCAGGTATCCTGGCAGACAGGTTTTCTGCTGTAGGTCGCCCCTTCTGTGAAGTATGTATGGTGTTTTGGGGGATGGCCTTGAGCTACAGACTGGGCAATTTCAAAAGTCTATATAAGGGCTTGCACACCATTGTTCTAGGTTCCTCCTCCCTCCTGCGTGTGGTGAGTGGGGACCCTGTTGCAACAGTTTAATAAAGATCAGGCTTACTAGCTGCTTTGCTTCTCAATATTCTCTGGTTGGCCTCTGTTATTTTCTCCTACCGATAGAGAACCTACATAAGGACTCTATATGGGCCCTTGGGTACCTCATAAGGGAAAAGGAGCAGTTTTTCTTATAACACCTCTTTCAATAAATATTAGCCAGAAGTCCTCAGAAAAACAGACCAAGTGGCATGAGCTGTGCTTTGGCTATTATCCAGATACTACCCAAAAATTATTTATGGATCTGTATTTCTGTTTCCACAAAAAATACCCTAGAGATGCACAGATCAAGTCCAAGCACTGGAACATATGCAAAGATTCATGCATGCATTTAAGCACATGTGAATCTCTAGACTGGTGTGTGTGTGTCTATTGCTGCGGAGCTAATTTAAGTATCTCAAATTCTGCATTCTCAGAATTCTCAGACTATTTCATAATGCAGTTTGAAAAGGAAGAGGGTAATATTCAGCAATGTCCACCAAAGCCTTGCTTTTTGTTATGTTCAAGGTTAAAGTAAGGTGTGTATTCTAAGAACATCTGTTGATATTGATAAGAACACATGTTGATATATACATACGCTTATTCACATTTCTTTAAAGACTCGTCACTTTTTTTTTATAACAGCTGTCAAAAAAATCACTTGTGATTTTGATCACCATCATCATAATTAATGGATGCAGTCCAACCAAAATGTAGCACTTTATAGAGTGGAAGAAATGCTATAAATAAGTCAGAAACTGAATCGTTATAACAAAAAGGGGGGAAAAAGACTATGGAAAATCACAAACTTTTTTTTTTGCTCTCCACCGCCACCTGGTGTTGCATGTTTATAACGAATTCAAAACACTGTTTTTTCACTAATGTAGCTGAGTCCACAGTTAACATTCCCAATGAAATCACTGGATGTTGTCTAACAGTAATATTAATAATACTGTACTATGCTGTAAGAGTTTACAATATTCAGAAATGCACTATATAGACGATATTATTGATTGTGTTATGGGAAATATGCTATGACAGGAAAAAGAATTTCAGAGGAGAAGAAAGGTTCACAAAGGCCCAAAGGTCCCACAGCTATAAACATTCAGAATTAAACTGAAACCCATCAATCAACAGTATATTTGCACACCATTGTTTTTAAACCTCAAAAAAAAAACTATGCCGGTGTTATCAGCAACCTTTTGTTTTGTTTTCGTTTAAAGTTTTCTGATTATCATTTTTATGGGATGGTTGTTAGCTGCCTAGAATTTTCGAATGGAAATAAAGTATTTCCAATGAAACCAATCTTATTTGAATAAAAGGATTTCAATCTTTATTTAGCATGCATATCTAGACTAGTACAGAGGCCCATTTCATTTTCTGAAGACATCTGAAGGCAGCGCTGTTTAGGGAAGTTTTTAATGTTTGAATTTTATTCTCTTTTTAATCTTCTGTTGGGAGCTGCCCAGAATGGCTGGGGAAACCCAGTCAGATGGGCAGGGTAGAAATAAATTTATTTATTTTATTATTGTTGTTGTTGTTGCTGCTGCTGCTGTTATTATTATTATTATTATTTCTGCAATAGCCGCTGTACAGTATATAACATAGCACCATGAGGAATTTTGTTACAGCAAATCATTGCCTCTTCTCCCTTCCTTCCTAATAGAACCATCTAAGGAGGGGAATAAGAACAATCTGTTAGCAGTCAAACCACCAAATTCCATGTTCTGCCTGTCTTGTGCTGGCCAGGGTTGGCTGAAAGGAAAAAAATATATACCAGAACCAAGCCTGGCACAACACCCCCCCCCTCATGCCCCGTCCTGGTGGTGTTTGGGGAGAATGGGAGGGCTGTAGATGCCATGGGCTCAAACTTTCCTCCAATCCATCTGTGTCCCTTTTGCCATTTCCAATGGCAAAGCGAGAACAGTGGAAGGCAAATGGTAGCGGTCCTTTTCAACATGGCTAGGAGGGACCAGGGAGAGGGAGATTTGCAAAATCCTACAGGACCCGGAATATCCTCCTAGGAGCCATAGGATTGCTGTCTTCTAATGGTGATTCTGATTTGTAGGATCCTGAATTAATTAGAATTTTATTCCCTATATAATTACGGTAACCAGTTTAAACACTATTTTCTTCTTTCATTTCTTGCATTTTTCTCTTTATTGGTATGTGGTAATTTAAAAAATAAATAGGAAAACAAGCAACGTGTGCTTTCATCGTGTCATTTGTCAGATTGCAGCCACTGAACAGAATCAAAGGTTTTAAACGACACTCTGCAAAAATCAATAAAGAATACCAGATTTACAGGACTTTACCTTTAATACATTTCAGTTAATTCCAGTGGTTTCACAGCCTTCATTCAATAAAATATCCAAGGCAGTGAAGACAATTGTGATTAAACATAAGCCAAAGGTTGAAGTCCTTAAGCTTTTAATTAGAGCTACTTAATGTGACTTCTCTCCCACTAAGTCTGGAATATAAATCAGGACAGAGAGGGGGAGTGTTTCAGGTTTTTCTTTTTTAAAAAAATAAATAAGGTTTCTGGTTTTGCACCCAGTAATGATAACTATTATGATATATTAGCATTCTGACAGGTGGCAGCAGGAAGCAATACAGAGTGCTAACACCTTAAGAGACTCAGACCATGCAATATCAGGGCTTCAATAGCTTCGTTCTCAGTGCAACATTGGCACATTCACAGCAACTACTCATCATGTCTAATCAGACGTCGGAGGGTAGACTTATTACTTTGCTGGCTCAGAAGGTGGGGCAGGAGTGGTACCTTAAATGTTCACCTTGGTTCAGGTGGTGGGGTGGAATGGTTAAAGTGGTTAAAGCCTATAAGAAAACAAATTAAATTTGGAAAGCCGGAGCGTCACGGTCTTACTCAACCAGAAACCAACAAGCCTGTTTTAACCAGGTTTCTTGTTTTTCTTTTTGTAATGTCTGTTTTTGAACACACACACTGCTGAGGGTGTTTTGAACAATGGGAGGCACCTACTTTTTAACATCCAGATAAAACAAAATAATAATCTGGAACTGTTGTTGTTGACAATTAAAGCTGACTTCCATTAGGTCCACAAAATTCTGCCCGTCTTGCTAGGAATCTGTCTTATACCAAGTTAGGCCATTGAGTATTGCTGACACGAACTGGGATTATTTATTATTGCTATTATTTATTGCATTTATATCCTACTTGTTTTCCTTCTAAGGAGATCGAGGTGGCGCACATGGTCCCTCCTCCCCATTTAACCCCCACAACAACCCTGTGAGGTGGGTTGGGCTGAGAGGTAGTGACTGGCCCAAGGCCAACCAGTGAGCTTCATGTCAGGTGGGGATTTGAACCCTGCTCTCCCAGGATCATGTCCGACAGACACTCTAACCACTGTACAACACTGGCCCTCCATGGGATTCTTCTCTGGGATTTCAGACAGGGGACATTCCCAGAGTCCCTTGGAGATGCTCAACAGTGGGCAAAAGATTCCTACATTGCAGAGGGTTGGACTAGATGCCCATTGTGGTTCCTTCCAACTCTTAAGATTCCATGAACATTGGGACACACGAGACACAAATCCGCCTGCATGCAAAGCAGATGTTGGACCACCAAGCTGTGGTTCTCCCCCTTGTGCCTTTTTTCCCCAACATGAGAAAGTGAATGAATGGCATCTTCAACTGGAAAGATCTGGTGAAGAATGTCTTAAGAGCACGAGATTGTGCGCAACTCCTATTCAATTCAATGGGACTTGCCCAAGAGAAATCCCCACTGGATTGCTCTTAAAGAACGACAAGTGAAAACACAATTATACCCTGGCCATGTAGCTGATAAAATATACAAAGGGGGAAAACGTTGAAGACAGAAAAGCCGTAATAAATGCTAGAACAAAATATTGAGTAACGAGAGGGAAAAGAAGACTAAGTGGGCGATTGCATATGACCCACACTATACTCAAATGTATAAGATCTGGAAATTACCAGTGACAAATGCCTAGTTTTGTTGAGAGAAAGGAGCAAGCCTAGCAAAACAAAGGAAAACCCACAGAGATAATTGGGGAATCTCAAATCCACACCAGCTTTAGGATTTGACTCACGCTTAAACTGCCGCCTACATTTCCTTCTGCGCACACAAATGTAAGATACTGTAGGAGGGGAATAATTGTGAACATACAGGCACATATAGAGCTTATAAAGAATTATCTACTGTGTTGCCAGTTCTCACGAACTCGCAGCAATTTCGCAGGAGGGTGGGCCCTCTTAAATCTCCAACTTTTATTTTCACAATTAAAGACTCTTTATCAGTTAGAACACTTGGAACAGGCAAGCTTAAACTCTTCAGTGAGGGCTTTATTTTAGATTTTGGAGATTAGGGTGGCAAAGAGATTTCAGTAGAGGGAGCACGGCAAGGTTCCAAGGCCAACTCTTGAATGGATTCAAATTAAATCGCAAGAACAACAAAGGAAAAAATCTCTGTGCAAATGTTAAGAGCACTTGTAGTTAATTTCTTTTTCTATGGTTCATTATATGTGTAGCAATGTCGGGATTATAATTAAGATATTCACACGCAAACATATGACAGACTCTAGATGGCCCTGATGGCTACCCATTTAACAGAGAACCAAAGTCTGCAATGAGAGTTGGAGGAAAGTTAATGGGCCTTTCTTATAGACACTTCGGGGCTAAATAATATTTTGACTTTTTGGATATTGTTTGAATAAAAAATGGAGCCTCGCTGTTCCATGCTATGGCCTTGTAGAGTGAATACAGTCGTACCTTGGATCCTGAATGTCTTGCGAGTTGAACATTTTGTCTCCCGAACGCCGCAAACCCAGAAGTGAGTGTTCTGGTTTGCGAACATTCTTTAGAACCCAGATGTCCGACGGGGCTTCAGTGGCTTCCGATTGGCTGCAGGAAGCTCCTGCAGCCAATCGGAAGCCACGCTTTGGTTTCCAAACATTTTGGAAGTCGAACGGACTTGCAGAACAGGTTCCGTTTGACTTCCGAGGAACGACTGTATTCCAAAGTTGTAGCTAAGAAGCCTCTCTGATAAAGTGTTTTTTGCTTGAGTGGACATACAGTGCTCTGAAGATCTGCCTGCTTATTTGCTTTAATATTAAGATGCTGGGAATTTAACAGAGAAGAGAAATGAATGAATGATGGATATCTACATATCTTGTTGACTTTTAATCTAACCTTACTTTTAACTTTTTTTTAATCCATTCTACTTTATTACTATCCAAGAAACCATATCTTTATAATATTTGTCCCTTGTCTAAGTCATGGATGGGGAACTGGATCTGGGTGGTGGGCCAAGTCATGATCTCCCCCACCCTGTGGTAATCGCATGGTAAAAGGTAAAGGTAAAGGACCCCTGGACGGTTAAGTCCAGTCAAAGGCAACTATGGGGTTGTGGCACTCATCTCGCTTTCAGGCCAAGGGAGCCGGTGTTTGTCCACAGACAGCTTTCCGGGTCATGTTGTCAGCAGGACTAAACCGCTTCTGGCACAACGGGACACTGTGACGGAAACCAGAGCGCACGGAAACACCGTTTGCTTGTATTTGCGTGCTTTCGAACTGCTAGGTTGGCAGGAGCTGGGACAGAGCAATGGGAGCTCACCCCGTCGCGGGGATTCAAACTCCAACCTTCTGATCAGCAAGCCCAAGAGGCTCAGTGGTTTAGACAACACCATGACATCAGGTGGGCTTTTTTGCCCTTTTCAAAGCGCTCCACAAGATAGAAAGGGTTTTAGCAAGACCTGACAATGTGCTTTGCACAGGGGCTTTTCAAGCACCGCCAATCAGATGATTTAAGCAGATCTCCCTCCTGCTGCAGTTTCCCCAAAGCTCAGTACTGAGTTTTGCAAGACCCTACCCACTTGGGCTCCTTTGGGACCTCAAGGCTTTGTTAGTAAACAGGGTGACAGGGAATATATGAATTTAACTATTGCTTTTGTTACTTGTCCAGAGCCTTTGGGATGGAGCAAGCTGTACATCTAAGCAAACAAATTGCAGATTGTGTGCTTTTATAAATAGATATTGCTAGTAGGTATTTCCACTCTTTAATTAAAACCCTGAAGTACTTCTGTCCACCCATTAAGTAGTATAAAAGGCTTAATTAACTAGAACAACAACCTGTTTAGGCCAAATTTCAAAGCAATTATGGCAATTGGTTGTGCATGCAAACAAGACTAATTATGCGCGGAGTACTCACCTCCCTGTGGGAAGAACTGAGAGTAAATCTCTTTGAAGGTCTCTTCATTAACAATCCCACTGGGACATTCCTAAGGAAAGTGGCAAGGAACGCATATGAATAACATGCCCATGTACAAATTGTACAAGAGACTGCAAACAGCAAGGATTTTACCACTACCAAACAAGAGATTTCGAAAACTACTTTACAAAAGTTCTTTTCTGCTAAAGGGGCCATAGCCTGTCCAAACTCTATTTCTCCAGAAGCAGGGAAGTTCACATACGAGCTCCCCCATCTCCTAGCAGGGATATTCACTGCAAGGAGAAATGTGCGTAGCATTGTTATATTCCTGACACATTCTACGCTGCTTGCATTAAAATAAGTTGAGCTGATATCTGCAGTGATCAGTGTGATCTTGATATCCTGATTCAAAGAGGAACTAGAAAGATAATTTGCTGAGCAAAGTGAGGCTATTGGAAGAACTGGCATCGGTCAGGGGCACACCGTTATGTTTCAACCCTACCTTGATCTCTGCCCCCATTTACAAAAGATGTACAGTGCACCAAACTATAATACAGTAGTGCCTTGGTTCTTGAACTTAATCCGTTCTGGAAGTCCGTTCCAAAACCAAAACATTCCAAAACCAAGGCGCGCTTTCCCACAGAAAGTAATGCAAAATGGAATTCATTAATCCATTCCAGGCTGTTGAAAAACTACCCCTAAAATGCTTCTCCCCACTGTCCCAGTCAGTGCGATCTTTTGATCTCTCTCTCTCACGTCAAAGCAGATGGTCTGCAGAGCGCTGCCGGGACGCTTCTCCCCACCTCCCCAATCAGCGTGGTCTCTCTAAAAATGGAAGCGCAACACTAAAAACGGAAGCTCAGGACACGTTCAACTTCCAAAAAATAATTCAAGAACCGGAATGCTCACTTCCGGGTTTGCGACGTTCGGGTTCTAAGTTGTTCGTAAACTAGGCTGTTCGAGAACCAAGGTATCACTGTATCTGCTTTTATAACCGAGATTTTAGAACAAAGGTTGTTGAGCATATTTAGGATGCAATTCTACATATCAAGTTTGTAGTGCAGCTTGAGGCTTGCGGACACACACACACACACACACACACACACACCTGTTTTCAAGAAGACCAAAAATATGCAGAACATGCCTTTTTTGTGATCAGGTCAGGTGCCTGAGGGTCTTGTGAGACTTGGCTCTGTTTTTGAGGGGCGAGTAGGGTTGGTGGCCGAGAACAGAAACTAAAGGTGATATGAAGGTTCTCATGAAATGGGTTGTGGAAATCATTTTCTTGCGAAACAAACTACTGCTTTGATTGGCTGAAAGATGAAAGGCACAAGTGTTTTCTAGATAAGGTTGCTAGAGAGAAAACGAAGAAAGGGAGCTGTTTCTGTTTGTTTACGATACGATACGATACAATATCTTTATTGTCATTGTCCCTTGCGGAACAATGAAATTGAAAACTACATAAAACTACATAAAAACTACATAAAACTACGTAAAAACTACATAAAACTACGTAAAAACTACATAAAACTACTACAAAATTACATAAAACATTCAAAACCCCCTAAAAACTCTAAAACCCCATTTTAAAACACACTATACTACAGAAACCCCTTATGCTGCATTTAGAACCAGAATTGCATTAGCGTAGAAACTGTTTTTCAGGCGGCTAGTCCTGGCCTTTATAACCCTATACCTTCTTCCAGAAGGCAGAAGCTGAAAGAGATCATTTCCGGGATGCGTACTATCATGTGCTATCTCTGCCGCTTTCTTATGGCACCTGGCAGCATAGATTTGATCTAAGGTGGGAAGAGTGCTATCGCTAACAAAAGCAGAAGGGAAGCCAGACACACACTCAAGATATGACTTCATCAGACATAATGAAAATAGCACCCAATGCGCCTTAAAAGAGAAATAACTTCCCAACTGAAGCTACTGAGAAACTAGCTGTACCTGAACAATGGGGGGAGGGGAACAGCAATGATACACATTCCTACGTATCAAAACCCTGTGTACTCCTTGGTCCTGAATGGGTAAACTGTGCCCCTGAAGGACCAGGTGTGCAGCCTGGGAGTCATTTTGGATTCTCAGCTGTCCATGGAGAAACAGGTCAATTCTGTGTCCAGGGCAGCTGTCTACCAGCTCCATCTGGTTTGTTGGCTGAGACCCTATCTGCCTGCAGACTGTCTTGCCAGAGTGGTGCATGCTCTGGTTATCTCCTGCTTGGACAACTTCAATGCTACTTTTGAAGGTGACTCAGAAACTACAACTCATCCAGAATGCAGCAGCTGATTGGGAGTGGCTGCTGGGACCACACAACACCGGTCCTAAAGGATCTCCCCTGGCTTCCAGTGCATTTCTGAGTGCGATTTAAAGTGTTAGTGCTGACCATTAAAGCCCTAAGTGGCCTCGGCCCAGTAAACCTGAAGGAGGGTCTCCACCCCCATTGTTCAGCCTGGACATTGAGGTCCAGCTCTGAGGGCCTTCTGGTGGTTCCCTCGCTGCGAGAAGTGAGGTTACAGGGAACCAGGCAGAGGGCCTTCTCGGCTGTGGCGCCCACCCTGTGGAACACCCTCTCATCAGATGCCAAGGAGATAAACAGCTATTTGACTTTTAGAAGACACCCAAAGGCATCCCTGTTCAGGGAAGTTTTTAACGGCTGGTGTTTTATTGTGCTTTTAATATTTTGTTAGGAGCCTCGGCAACCCAGTCAGATGGGTGGCATATAAATAAAATAATAATATTGTTATTGTTATTATGAAATGAAATGAAAGTTATGACTTCAGGCATGAGAGTTCAAGTACAAGAGCATTTCACCATGCAGGGCTTTCGAAACATTCTCTTTAGTTACATACTCTGTACCCATACGTCATTATTACGTGTTATTTCACCAGCTAGTAATAGAAGGGGTACAAGGAATGTTTGTTACCAAAGTTTGGACCAAGAAGCTGCAGGAAAGCCCTCACAAAATGGCTGGCTTAGGAGTTCATGCTTCTAACGTCCTTTCTGCCATGAACAGGAAAAGCTGCCGTTTTAAAAATTCCACACACAAAATGGTCTGTAATAAAACTTACAAGTTCTGCTTTCTAGTGGGAGTTTCAGCATTCTTAGACACCAGAGGGCAGCAATGTGCTCAATAACAACAACAAAACAACCCTTAAAAAAACCAAGTCCATTGTATAGTATTTCAGCATCCTATCACAGCACCACAATATCCGTAAGCAACCATATGATTAATTATGTGGAAGGGGAATGATAAAAACGATCTTTTAAGTTTCTTAGCTTCTCGAGTAATTTATCGGATTTGAAAAGTGCAATGAGTTTCACTGTGCAAGTCCTCTAGCTATGGGTGTTTTGAACATGACTGCCACTTGGAGATCAACTAGAGGGCAGATTTATCGCAGTCCAAGTGTTACACCAACAATACGTTAATTTCCTGAAGCGGCTAAATATAGCAGTTTTATTTTCGGAATAGCCAATCCTCAGTAGGCTTGCTCAGACACACTGTTCTTTTCCAATTCAGCACCCTTTTGCTATGCATATGTTTCAGTTTCCAATATTCTGCCAACATTTCTTGGTCACAAAAAGAAGCCATAGCAGCCTACACAGATAGGAGGTGGCTTGCTTCTTCACAGCTCCCACTCAGTCCAATAAGCCAAAGGTCCAGTTCACATATCATGATAAAGGTAAAGATAAAGGGACCCCTGACCATTAGGTCCAGTCGTGGCCGACTCTGGAGTTGCGGCGCTCATCTTGCTTTATTGGCCGAGGGAGCCGGCGTACAGCTTCCGGGTCATGTGGCCAGCATGACTAAGCCGCTTCTGGCAAAGCAGAGCAGCGCACGGAAATGCCGTTTACCTTCCCGCCGAAGTGGTACCTATTTATCTACTTGCACTTTGATGTGCTTTCAAACTGCTAGGTTGGCAGGAGCAGGGACTGAGCAGCGTGAGCTCACACCGTCACGGGGATTCGAACCGCCAACCTTCTCATCAGCAAGTCCTAGGCTCTGTGGTTTAACCCACAGCGATAAGTCACTGCTAATAGTTTGTTGCGTGTGAAGACCCCCAAACCCCCTCCAAAATAAATTACGCAGGACACAGAATATTTAAGATTTTTAGTGTTAATTTGGCCACAACTTTATTGATTACAGCATGTGAGTGGTTGCTTAGGCATTGGTTCAGACTACCTGAACCTGCACTGGCAGGAATAGGACTGACAACTGGAACCTCCAGAGGTCAGTTAGGGAAAACATACTGGGGGAGCACAGAGGCGGATTTCTGCCTCTTACTTCACCCCAGATGCTCCCAGGAACTCTGGCCTGGCCCTACCCCTGAGAGGGGATCAGACAGAGCAAATTGAGCCCCTGGATTCCTTTAACGGAATTCCCTAGCAGCAGCAGCAACAACAAATGAGGGGCAGGCACAGCCAATCCATAACCCCCTCCACCAAAGAATGAACCAATGCCTAACCACCAAACCTACAAAGTTGTGACGATTTGCTACACGGTTGGCAAAAACCAAATGGCACCAGCCACTACGATATATTTTAATGACAGTGGCATATGAGTGTTTAAAATAAAATAAAATAAAATAAAATAAAATAATTAGCTAGGATTTTGTAAGTGCAGAAACGAAAGGAAGATGAGGTTCCAACCAATGAAGAATGGATAAGTAAGATAACAGGCCTTGCAAAACTGGCAAAATTAACAGCAAAATGAAGAGAATCCAGTGACGACTGTTTTATGGAAGAATGGATGCCCTTTTCAGTCTATTTAAAGAAATATTATAGTACGATGAATTCGCGGGCAGGATTTGAGCTATGAGCAACAGAAGTAGTAATTCAATTATAATATTGTGGTTATGATTTGATAACTGGAAGATAGGGTTCAGCAGAAGGGGTGCACCTCTACTGGAGCTGTTACTTGCTGTGCAATATTAGCATGAAATCGCAAGCAGATTTTTAAAACTTTGTTGTGTTTATCTTCTTGATATTTCATATAACTAGATGATTCTGACAATAACTACAATAGTCAGAGGTTCTCGCCTCTGAGGTCACCAAGTAGACTGTGTAGAAATAGGAACTGGGGACACAAAGATAATAATAAAAACCAGTTTGGAAAAGAATGTGTTAGCTGCTTTAATAAAAAGAAAAAGAAGAGAATCAGGTTTTTTTCTTCAGGAAAAACTTTAGCCACTTCATTACAGCTAAGAATATTGCTTCTAGTCACAGTCTCTGTTATGGGATCATGACCCTCCAGGACAAGATAGGATTTCATTTTTTAAAAATAGAAACCTAACAGTAAAAGAAGATGAAAGAGAATCTACATGGAACTGGCGGAAATGACTGGCAGAATCCGAGACCAGGGAGAAGAGTCGGTGAAAGAAGACTGGAAGAAATTTAAAGACTATTTACAGAAATATTGTAAAATTAAGGAATATTGTAAAATTAAGGAATCTTAGAAGGATAGAAACTAAGAGCTTTTTAGCTGTAATGCTTTAAGAGATATGAAAAAAGGCTTACAATTGGGCAAAGTTTAATGGTAAGGATTTGCTGAACTAACAAACTGAACTGGAATACAAAAAAGGGAGGTATGAGGAGGTCCGGGGAAATAAGTCTAGAGAAGATAGGTTCGGAAAATTAATGTCTTTTTAACTGTTTTATTTTGTATGTTTCTTTTTATCCTTTACTTTTTTGTTATATTTTAAAATTTTTTACTCTTTTTTCTGTATTTTGTATTTCTTCTATTTTTTGTAACTTTAATAAATATCATGAGGGGAAAAAAAAAGAAGATGAAAGAGAATCTACTTTTAAAAAATAGTTTGCCCAGAGCAAACTTATTATTTTGCTGGGTTCCAGCCAATTTGACTACTCAAACTCTGTGTTTCCTCAAATGCTTAATCATTAACTCCCATTACACTAGAGATGACACAAAGTTTAAAATGAAAGAACCCTCGTTTTAAATGCTACGTTCTGCACGCTGATGGGCATCAAAGGTTTAGGGAACTTTGAAGAAGTGTCAAAAGTAGAGTTATCAACCTACTGAATATTTAGTTGATAAATAACCAGCCTTTTTAACTGACCAATTAGATTTAAATAAATTTGCATGATAAATTCACACAAATCCTCCATTTGGTAGTATTTTTGTTAGATTATTTTTAATTATTTTAAAAAGTTGCTGTTCACTGCCACCCCTCAAAATAATTCACACATCACACGTAATTTAAGGTTTCGGGGCACTATTTTGGCCACAACTTTATTAAAATACAAAATCTGTGAGTGGTTGCTTAGACATTGGTTATGACTATCTGTCCCCCCGCCTGGGACAGAACTGACATTGCGAACTCCATCGGAAGCCAGTGAAGGGAAAGACAATGTTGGGGATCAGTTGAGCTGAGCGTCAGTCCCTCACCACTCACCCAACCAGCTCCCCAAGGCTTGCTGGCCCTGGTCCCATTTCAGGGATTGGACGAAATTGTGGCAAGCCCCAGGATTCCTTTAACGGAATTCCCTTCCAGCACCATTGGAGGGGCAGGCGCAGCCAATCCTTACCCCTCCTCCACCAATTTTTATAACCAATGCCTAACCGCAACCTTACAAGTTGTGATGAATTGCTACGCAGTAGGCAAAAACCAAGTGGCACCAGCCAATCAGCCAAATGGACAAATTCCTACTAGGCTCCTGCCCCAAAAGCAGGCGACCCCATGACAGTCAAAGCAAGGTCAACCAGAACTCAGGGCAGGCAGGCGGGTGATCTGATGCACTCAGCGAAAGAGAAAGCAGAAGCAGTGTGACCCAATATTTAAAACCTATGGTCCCACCCACCCAATTTGCTACATGCAATTTGCCCCAGCAACCCGGTCATCCATTCGTTGCCATTAACTTGCCTGGCAACAGAGGGCTGGCCTGGCAGCCCACACCGCAACCCGTGCTCTCATTCTAGGGAGAACACGCTTTGGCAGAAAAGGAAAAGCCACATTGAACAGTGGTCCCTCCCCCACCATTGATTACTAAAGCACATCAGCATCAAAAAAGCTTCATAAAAATAGCTCAATGGGACTTTATTTCTCAGTCTCAGCGACTATAACTTAATTGGCTCCAGCGAGACCATAGCAGGAACAATCCCTGAGGAAGCAAAATATTCCAAACAGGCCCCCTTCCCCTGCTACACCTCCTATTTCCCCACATGGTACGCCAACAAGGTAGGGTTTATGGCCACAACACCATCCTACCATCATTTGTAACTCAAGAGTATGATTAACGTAAAATTAAAGTTTGCAGTTGATAAAAATAATTTTTTCAGCTTTGGTATCATGGATTTGCGGGGGTCAGTAATTGCCTGCTATTGGTGTGAGGCATTTTTTTTTAAAGGGAAAAAAAATATTAATGATTTAAAATGGCTTGTACAAACCCAAGGGCTTCGTTTTCCCCCAGACCTGTTAATTTCAGACTGCAGAGTGCATTGCAAGTGGTCATTCTGATTAACTACCAAATCTCCTTAATTATAGCATTTGGTTTGCTTAAAGCATAATGTGCACTGATCTCAGCAATTATAATATAATTTTAACAGCAATCGTTTCCCTCAAAGTCTGAACTGGAAAAGGCTTGTGGAGGAAAATGAAGATTGATTATTTTATGAGTTGAAATCTTTTGCTGCTTTGCATGAATGCTGTGAGCCCCAATCCATTATGCGTCAAGCACCCTGACACCCTCAGATCACAAGTTATAAATGTTCCAAATTATTCTGTTATTAGGAGGTAGTGTTGAGTCACTTTCCTTAGAGCTCCTGCTCTAAGACCCAAATTAATGCATTTTCATTGATATCCCCAAGTATGTGCAATAATGTGGTAATGAAGAGGTAAGACCTATCATGATGGATTTTCTCCAACTTTCTCTAATTACCTGTGCTTGATTCAATTATGCTGCATGCCATAATTTATTTATTTTTTAAAAAAACTATCTGCTGTTATCAGATAGGAGAAGTTAGAGAGCTATTCATTTAATACCCTGACAGCTTAAGGGGAATTATTTCTTGCATTCTTATTTCTGTTGTGCTTATACCTCAGCCCAGCTAAAGAATTAAGGAGTGCTTTTATTGCTCGCTACAATAAACAGGGATGTGGGTGGCGCTGTGGGTTAAACCACAGAGCCTAGGACTTGCCGATCAGAAGGTCGGTGGTTCGAATCCCCCCAACGGGGTGAGCTCCCGTTGCTCGGTCCCTGCTCCTGCCAACCTAGCAGTTCGAAAGCACGTCAAAGTGCAAGTAGATAAATAGGTACTGCTCTGGCGGGAAGGTAAATGGCATTTCCGTGCGCTGCTCTGGTTCGCCAGAAGCGGCATAGTCATACTGGCCACATGAACGGAAGCTGTACGCCAGCTCCCTCGGCCAATAAAGTGAGATGAGAGCCGCAACCCCAGAGTCAGTCACGACTGGACCTAATGGTCAGGGGTCCCTTTACCTTTACCTTACAATATAAACATTGGGATATATATGTGGGGGTGGGGGTGTAACACTCTGTAACACATGGGGTGCAGATTTTTACTGATTCTTAGAATCATAGAATAATAGAGTTGGACGGGACCACAAAGTCATCAAGCCCAGTGTTTCCCAACCTTTTCCCGACTATGGCTCCCTTCTGACCTTGTTTTCTTCCTGTGCCCCCCCCCAGGGGTGTAGTCAATGGGGGAGGGGGGCAGGTGCCCCCCAAATAAGTAAAAATTAATACAAATCTATACAAATCTGAGATTCTGCCCCCCGCAACAAAAGCCTGTCCCCCTATCAAAAATCCTGGCTATATCCATGCTCTGCCCCCTCATCGTACTGGTAGAAAGGTAGCTATTTAAATGTTTTGTTTGTAAAGAGAACATGTTTTATTTATAATTTTTATAATTTGTACAAAATACAGTTACATAAAATGACAGGAACATAATGAAATATTGTTGAAGCAGAAAAACATAGAATCGTAGAGCTGGAAGGTACCCCATGGACATATTTCTAGTGCAACCCCCTAAAAAGTAGGCAACTCAGCTAAAGCATCTGTGACAGATGGCCACCCAACCTCTGCTTAGAAACCCCCAGGGAAGGAGAGTCCAGAACCTCCCGAGGGAGATCCATCTTCCATGTATTATAAAAAATAAAAAGGTAAAGGGACCCCTGACCATCAGGTGCAGTCGTGGCCGACCCTGGGGTTGTGGTGCTCATCTCGCTTTACTGGCTGAGGGAGCCCGGCGTACAGCTTCCAGGTCATGTGGCCAGCATGACTAAGCCGCTTCTGGCGAACCAGAGTAGTGCACGGAAACGCTGTTTACCTTCCCGCTGGAGTGGTACCTATTTATCTACTTGCACTTTGACGTGCTTTCGAACTGCTAGGTTGGCAGGAGCAGGGACTGAGCAACAGGAGCTCACCCCGCCGCGGGAATTCAAACCGCTGAGCTCTAGGCTCTGTGGTTTAGACCACGGTGCCACCTGCGTCCCTATTATAAAAAGTAAACAACACTTATTTAATAATAATAAATAATAATAATAATTTGTTTGTTTATACATGCATACATACATACATACCCTGCCCTCCCCGGCCAGGGCTGGGCTCAGGGTGGCTAACACCAAATATAAATTACAATAAAACGTAATAGAAAAACAAGACAAAAAACAGTTAATTAAAATACAGCTTAAAATGCAGCCTCATTTTAGTAGTAGCCCATAAATCAAGACCATAAAGGGAGGAAACATCAGCTATTCACCAGAGCCAGCTATCCATGCTGGTCTTACATGGGCCTGCAAAAAAGCCAAGGGAAAACTTATATACCAAATCTCATATAAGGGGCCAAAGGCCAGGCGGAACAACTTCGTCTTGCAGGCCCTGCGGAAAGATGTCTAATCCCGCAGGGCCCTGGTCTCTTGTGACAGAGCGTTCCACCACGTCGGGGCCAGTGCTGAAAAGGCTCTGCCCCAGTTGAGACCAATCTAACCTCCTTGAGGCTCGGGGCCTCCAAAGTGTTGTTATTTATGGACCTTAAGGTCCTCCGCGGGGCATACCAGGAGAGGTGGTCCCGTAGGTACGAGGGCGCACCAGGAGTTCTGTATATATGGGATAATTTCAAAAAGCAAGTGGTCCTCATTGACCTGGTGCAAAAAGGTCTTGTCCTCCAGAGGAGCCCTGGCTGCCTAGATAAAACACTATATAGTCCCACACACCAAAAATGAAGAAGTTAGATGATGTATAAGCATATATGAACCATGCCTAACTTCTATGCTAGTTGTGGGAATACAGAAAAAGAGGTGGGGTTTTTCTGGGCCTTGATTTTTAAAGCCCCTTTACACCAATAAAATTGCCAGGAGCTGAGTCACAAATCAAATTAGCTCAGTTGTTTTCAGCATGGTGCTGATAATGCCAAGGTTGCAGGAATGATGAATGAATGAATCTTTATTTGCACCAGCCATAGCAATAAAACAACAATACGATATAAAAAGAATAGAAATAAAAAGTCAATTATATAAAATACATTTTGGGGTTTTGAATCAATAGTCAAATAGTGGATCTTATTCTGATTGCCCCAGCTAAAAACCTTGCTACCTTTGCTGTCACCTGCTCATCTTGAACTCCAAGACAAAGGACACTGGGGCAGTGGCTGGGCGACCCGGAATGGACAATAAAAGAGGGGTGATAATCTCATTCCTCAAGTCTTTAAGAAGAGTGCAAGCCAGCAGGGCATGCGCCACCGATTCTGTACTGCCATCTCCACGGGGACATAAGTATTTTTCGTGTAGAATCTGTTGGAATCGTCCCTCAAGTACAGCCGAGGGCAACACGTTCAGTCTTGTGAGAGTAAAAGCACGCCTATATTTTAGAATTACGGTACTAGGTTATGCAGATAGGGAGCCAGAGAGTTGAAATGGGAAGGTGGGAAATAGTCATACCATGGGCAAAATTTCCTTATTATGGCCAAGTTGTTCTGACGCTCAACATCATTTAGGCGCTGACAAATTAGACTGTTTGCTTTACTAAAACCCAAGGTTGCAGGTTCGATCACTGCATGATCCTTGGGATCCCTTCCAACTTTACAGCTCAACGATTCCTGCAGGCATCTGGCTGGCTGCTCTGAGAAAATTGCTTGAGAAAATGTGGAAAAGAAACTAAAAGTATTCATTTTGTTTTAGTAATCAAGCCCGTAACACTGAACATTCTCAAAGTACCCTCAGGGTGAGAAGGTCGCCTCATAAGAACAAATATCACACCACGCCGTTCTGGAGCACACAACTTGTTTCATTTCTCATAAACTATGCCAGTCCTCAAGAGATCCCCAGAAGGCCAAATTTGTTCACTTGTCAGCAAATGTCTAATGAGATCAGAACTTTGCAGCTACAATGAAGCTATAGGCCTTCAGGCTGTTCTTCTGACCCAGACATAATTGCAGTCTTTGAGACAAGAACTATGAAAGCCGATCGGGAGGCCTGAAAAAAATTGGTGACCCACCAAACTGAACAAAGCCCATCATCCATGCATTGTGGCTTGTCAGATCTCCTATCCAGGTTAAGTGGCAAAACCAGGCAGTTCGTCAGATATTTCTAGACAGCAGCCTGGAACCCAAGCTGCATTTTCCAGGCCAGATGCATAGAGCAACTGCATCATAGCACATAAATTTGCGCGTCCAGCCCCAAAACCCGCCCCCATTGAATAAAGAAACAATGGACACCAAATTTAGTTTAAAGGTTAATGGACAAATTTAGGCCACAACTTTATTGAATACACAAGTGTGACTGGTATTGGCTTAGGCATCAGTATCTAATGGCTATAACGGACTCCTGCCCACCCAGCAGGGAGCCTGCAAAAGGTAAACTACCAGCAGCGGGAGCTCCAATAATGGCTTACCCCTGGGGTTCCCGTGGGTCCTGGCATGGCCCTAGCCCCTCCCCAGGCTTTGGCGAGATCCAGACCCCCGGATTCCTTTAACAGAATACCCAATCAAATGGAGGGGCGGGGATGGCCGCACCTCCCCTCCCCACATCCCCCTAAATCAATGCCTAACCGCCAAACCTTACAAAGTTGTGACGATTGCTAAGAGGTAGGCAAAAACCAAGTGGCCACTGCCAATCTGCCACATTGGAAAAAATTCCTGCCCGGCCCCCGATCCAAAACAGGCAACCAACCGAAGTCCAAAGCAAGGCCAAACGCAGACCTATCAAAGGGTGTGTGGGTGTTCGGCAGCGCAAAACAGGAGGGGTTCCCCACTTCACGCTGCCGTTTAAATAATGAAGCCCCGATCACCCCACCACACCAATTGGCCAAGAGCCAGTGGCGTGATCGTGGCACCACCGTTCCTGAGCGGGGCAAAGTCACGCCTCCAGGCTGGTTGGTGGGAGTCTCGGGGCAGCGCGCAACATGGACCCTCGGTTAGGAGGATCCAACTTATTCAGCACAAAAAGTTACCTGAAGAATCACTTCTGCAGCTGCCTCAACTCGAGGTTCCACTGTAGAGCCTATGCTAAGTCGTCTTAGTTTCTTTAGTTTTCTGCTCTGCATAGGTTTTGAGTTGCTTGCCACTGGCTTAGCTCTCACCTACTTGTTGTACCTCTGCATGCTGCCTTGTATTGTGGTTTGCACAGCTTGCCATTGATTCACTGTAGCTTGTGGCTTGGCACACTTCCTTAAGTGCTCTCCTTTGCATAGGCTTTTGACTCCCTGATTGCGCTTTGGACTAGGATGTCTCCACCCCCCCCCTCATTCTTTCACCTTTGGTGGACATGCCCAAGGATTAAGGTTTTCTGGGAGATGATATATAATGAATTAAAAAAGGTATTTAAATATACCTTCTTGAAGAAACCAGAGGCCTTCCTCCTGGGCATAGTGGGCCAATCGGTGTTAAAGAAGGACAGAACTTTATGTATGCTACAACAGCAGCAAGAATACTTATTGCAAAGCATTGGAAGACACAAGACTTACCCACACTGGAGGAATGGCAGATGAAATTGATGGACTATATGGAATTGGCGGAAATGACTGGTAGAATCCGAGACCAGGGAGAAGAGTTGGTGGAAGAAGATTGGAAGAAATTTAAAGACTATTTACAGAAATATTGCAAAATTAATGAATGTTAGAATGATGTTGGATTGAAGTTAAGTGGTTTCTAGCTGTAATGGTATAAAAGAATATGGAAAAATTGGATTTTAAATACGTAAAAACCTAATGTTATAATATATTAAGATTAAAGATCAGGATTAAAAAGGAGGGAAAGGAATTGCTGAACTAATAAACTGAACTGGAATACAAAAAAGGGAGCTTTGAGGAGGTCCGGGAAACAAGTAAATGAAAGTGAAGTGATGAAAAGATGGAATTGTTTTTAATTGTTCTTTTTTTGTATTTTGTATCTTTCTTTTTTCTATTTTTCTTTTTCTTATTTATGTATCTTTCTTTTGAAACTTTAATAAATATCATTAAAAAAAAAAAAGGATGTCTCCCCCTCAAGGATACTGCTTCCCGTCTGGGAAAAGGGACAACCCTAGAATGGCCAATACATTTTAAATTCATTCATAACTGACTTGGGCAAACAGAAAGAGCCAGCCGACGCAGTACAGTGTAGCTTCCGCTCGTGCCACTGCAATTGTGGCCTGTTATTCTTCTCTTCTGCCCCTGCAACCAGGACAGTGAGGCAACCAGACAAGTTCACAGAACAATGTGCAGTGTGGGAAGAGAGAGGGCCCCCAACTGGCAAGTGGTGAGGCAAAGCCAGTGATTTAAATTCCTTCTACCTGCCAGCTCAATGCTAGCACTGCATTCTTCCTGCTCCAAGTACGTTTGTGTGTGTATTCTTCATAAAAGGTAAAGGTAAAGGGACCCCTGACCATTAGGTCCAGTCGTGGCCGACTCTAGGGTTGCGGAGCTCATCTCGCTTTACTGGCTGAGGGAGCCGGTGTACAGCTTCCGGTCATGTGGCCAGCAGCACTAAGCTGCTTCTGGTGAACCACAGCAGCGCACGGAAATACCATTTACCTTCTCGCTGGATACCTATTTATCTACTTGCACTTTGACGCGCTTTTGAACTGCTAGGTGGGCAGGAGCAGGGACTGAGCAACGGGAGCTCACCTTGCCGTGGGGATTCAAACCGCCGACCTTCTGATCGGCAAGCCCTAGGCTCTGTGGTTTAGACCACAATGCCACCTGTGTCCCGTGTATTCTCCATACAATTAAGTAATGTAAATAGTAATAATAAATATATAAATTAGAATGACTGGGGAAATGGGTACAGTGGAAAACTAGGTGAGGGGTAGAACTCTCAAAGCCAGCTGAATTTCTCATCCATCCAGAAAATGAAAATCTTATAACCTACCCTTGACATTGCAAGTCAATGCTGGACAACATTTCAAAACAATGGCATAAATCTTTTGCCGAAAGATTGATAAAGCTCAAAATGTTTTCATCCATTTCATTATTGGGGGGAGGGGCACTCCATCAATGAAATAACAGCTGAACAAAATAAGCATATGTATTTTTCATTAGAGAGAAACTTGCATACGAAATGAGTCAAATAAAAATCAGAAGATTTAACTCTCACATAGATGTTGCTTCCGGTATAAGGGCAGAAACCAAAATCGTCATTAGCTTTACCACAAAGTAGGGTGAGCTATTCTGCCTAAACGGGAAGCTTTTGGGGTACCATTATAGGATAGCTGGTTATCTGTTACAGTGGTACCTCAGGTTGCATACGCTTCAGGTTACAGACGCTTCAGGTTACAGACTCCGTTAACCCAGAAATAGTGCTTTAGGTTAAAAACTTTGCTTCAGGATGAGAACAGAAATCATGCTCCGACGGTGCGGCAGCAGCAGGAGGCCCCATTAGCTAAAGTGCTGCTTCAGGTTAAGAAAAGTTTCAGGTTAAGTACGGACCTCCGGAACGAATTAAGTACTTAACCTGAGATACCACTGTATTTAGTTTACAATTATATTTTTTAATGTGCAGGAGAATCACTTAGATTTTCTGCCTCCATCACTAAATGCCTTTGTCATTTCTCTGCCAACAATGTATCTTCATGTGTACTGCACAGTACCTCTCTGAATTTACTTCACATGTACAATTTACCTATTTCCCAATATGGCTTGTGTAATATTTATTAGGCAGTAAAAGTTATGGCAGCCCATTTTTGTTTTATTGAATGCATATTTTTTAAACTGTGTTCTTATGTTTCTATCTGTAAAATGGTAAAGAGAATTTACTATTCTGTTGTTTCTGAGAAAGTGCTGAAGATGTGGGAAATTGCAATCAAATATAACCAGCATGCTTGGTGGTGGTTAATGCATGAAGCGGTTAAGGGCACAGATCTGTACAAGCAACTCCTCATTTAGATGGGGGTTATGTTTGAGGCACCACGTTTGCCAGCGAGACACCATAGGCCCGTCCCATTGCAGTGCCAAAAATGGTGCACATATCAGTGGTTGCGAGCATGCTGACTGTACAAAAATGGCGAGATGCCTGTATTCCTAGATTCAGCTAGGTTATACTCCTCACTTGAAAGGAAGGAAATTAAGTTTCCTCCTTGTTTACTCTTCTTTCATCGTGTGAACTCACCGAGGTAGGATGTGCCTGAGCTTGCTCGCTACAAGTTCAGACTGTGTGCTTAGAGCTATTTCAGTATATTTCGCATCCTAAGATTTCTGCCTGTGTTACTTGCTGTGTGGATGAACCTAAGCTCTGGAACTTGGTAAGTAAAGCATTTTTAAACTTACTAAGGTGTATGGTCTGTTCAGTGCTAAGAGAGGTAGAAATGGAGAAGCTATGGTAGTGGACTAAACTGGATATTAAGGTTTAACAGCCTAAATCCCCATGCTACACCGCTTGCTTGTGACTTTTTAAACTTTGCTGGGGGTCCCTCTTGCTTGTGTGTGTTTATGTTATGATATGGATGCAATGCAGCTGCGAACTGCTAGCTTGAAAACATCACATGATGGAATGTTGGGACTGTTCTGTGGGAAACAGAGGGACAGTCATTTCACAGGGCAATGCACCAGAATTAGCTCAGTGTAATATGAGCTCTTCCTTTTGCTCTTGTACAGGAAGTACAGGAGGTGTTTGTCACTCGACTGCTGGAGCTTGAAGAGAGCAGTCATGTTTATTGTAACGCTGCAAAGACAGAAATAAAGGCATGTAAATACGTTTCTGTCTATCTCTTTCCCCTGCCGGGGGGGCAGGAAAGAGGGTGTGTGTTCTTCTCACACTGAGAAGAATCGCCTATCGCGACCTAGCCTGGATCTTGCTGGGGAATGCAGACAGGGAGGTCAACAGGAGATCAAGCCTGGTGCCTTGAGAGTTGCCAGTTACTATTGATATAGGCTTGAATTCCGACAGTTTAGCCCCATATTTTGGAACTAGGGATCCAGACAATTCTTTTATTATTACCCCACACAGGTGATCTATACTACCATATATACATTTCCCCCCACAAAGAAGTATCGTAAGAATTAAGAAAACCCTTTCCAGTGTAGAAATTTGGCCAGAGCCAGTCACAGTTTGCCACTGCTCACCCTTTTCATTGCGAATATTTATAAAAAGCATTTCAAGTAACAGCGTTCTTCTGACTGCAACTGTGCGAATGTTCACGGCAATCAGTGGTATTTATTGCACCTCAGTAACCGTACGACGAAAAACAACTTTCTTCACAGAAGTGTGAACAATTATCAGTCTTTGAGTTTGCAAGAGCTGCACTGCCAAGTAATCACAGATTTACGCTATATGTATTGGCTATAATCTGTTTATGTGTCTGCTTAAATCCAGTGAAACCAATAGGCTAGAATAGGCACAGGCAAACTTGGCCCTCCAGATGTTTTGGGACTACAACTCCCATCATCCCTGACCCTGGGATGATGGGAGTTGTAGTCCCAAAACATCTGGAGGGCTGAGTTTGCCTATACAGTGGTACCTTGGGTTGCATACGCTTCAGTTTACATATGTTTCAGGTTACAGACCCCACTAACCCAGAAATAGTACCTCAGGTTAATAACTTTGCTTCAGGATGCGAACAGAAATTGTGTTCCGGCAGCACAGCAACAGCAGGACGCCCCTTTAGCTAAAGTGGTGCTTCAGGTTAAGAACAGTTTCAGGTTCAGAACGGACCTCCGGAACAAATTAAGTACTTAACCTGAGGTACCACTGTACCTGGGCTAAAATATGCTTAACTCTGTTGGTTTGTGGCCATTAGTTACTTCTCCCAATTGGCGGTGTCATCATTTTATATGAAGATGGAAAGAAAATATTCAACAGAGAATAGAGGAGCAGTCCAAAAAGAACCGAAGGCAGATGAACAGTCTTTCTCAAAGCAATGCTGGACATTGTCGTCATTGTGTGTGTCCGTAGTGGAGCAGTTCCCCTTTTATGTTTCCCGCTTTGGGTTTTTAAAAACATTTCCTTCTTATTGGAATCAATGACTAACACAATTTGTCCCCTTTCTAGGCATGTGTCAGGGGAATGGAAGGTCTGGGGATTCTGCAGATTCACAGAGTCTCCTGGCACATCCTTGACATGCCCCTAGAATGACTTCATCTCATCTTACTTTAGAGCTCCTATCCTTGTAGAGGGAGATCTGATGATTCCTACAATTCCTGGGATGCCCTCTAAGAGACTTAAGTATTGCCACCTTCAGGACAATGTAAATTAGTATTAAGAAGATTTAACAATACTCAAAGCCTTCATTATATCTTAATACCTAGCTCTGGGGAACTCAAAACTTGATTTTGGGACATTTCGCTTGGCCAAGTAAAGATGTCCTAATATGGGTTTCTGACATTTTCTTGTAGGTCAACATGGCTGCCTGTGCTTTTTTCCAGTGAAACATTAGTTCTCACCAAGTTATTTTCATTATCAACATTCTGCCCTGGGTAAGGCTAGCTATTATAAAATAGGTCAAACTGCAAGTCTCCCACTGCACTCATACACGAAAACAAAGTTCACCACAGCCAATCACAAACAAGCAACCGCACCCTAGGCCAACCCCAATTTCTCTCACCACCAAAGGAACACAAGCGAACAGCAAAGAGAACCCGCACAAGCGACGCTGACACAAAACCCCACACATATATTAAGCAAAACAGAAACATCGCCTCCCGACCCCATCCCCACTCATCTTTCCCCCTCTCTTTTCCCCTTTTCTTCCTAATGTAACCCTAATGACTCAACAAATGAAACTGACCTATGGAAAATGAAATTTGAAAAAAGAGATATTGCACATATTATAGAAAACTTTAATAAAAATATTTTATTAAAAAGGGGGGGCAAGTCTACAAACCTATGTGCACCCATCAGCCAACTGCAGAATTTCCTAAATTGAGACAGGGAAACTCTAAAGCTGTCATGTCTAACTTTTGAATTTCTTCTGGGTTTGCCACTTACGTTTTGAAATAGGATGTGTGAGGACATGTGTGTGTACCCACTAGCATGAAACTTTTCTGCTGAAAAGTACACCTCTAAGCACTATTATGAATTATGGTGCTGGAGGAGACTCTTGAGAGTCCCATGGACTGCAAGAAGATCAAACCTCTCCATTCTGAAGGAAATCAGCCCTGAGTGCTCACTGGAAGGACAGATCCTGAAGCTGAGACTCCAATACTTTGGCCACCTCATGAGAAGAGAAGACTCCCTGGAAAAGACCCTGGTGTTGGGAAAGATGGAGGGCACAAGGAGAAGGGGACGACAGAGGACGAGATGGTTGGACAGTGTTCTCGAAGCTACGAACATGAGTTTGGCCAAGCTGCGGGAGGCAGTGGAAGACAGGAGTGCCTGGCGTGCTCTGGTCCAGGGGGTCACGAAGAGTCGGACATGACTAAAAGACTAAACAACTTCAAAAGCACTATTCCAGTTTGGAAACATGCATGGGCATTACAAGTCAGACTCGGGAAGACGCTAAATGGAACCATTCTCTCCTGATGCACTTCAGCTTGCACTTGCCGTATTATTATTATTAATTATTATTATTATTACTACTACTACTACTACTACTACTACTATTATTATTATTATGTTGTCCATCTGGGTGGCTCCCAACAAAAACAGTAAAAGCACAATACATCACTGTCAGGGAACTGACATCGGAGCCAGAGGTGGAGGGGAGGCTGTCTAATGATACTGGAGAAGGGTCCAGCAGGGAGAGAGGCAGCTCAGCAGATGGGGAAGCAATTCAGTGCAACACCAGGAATAAGGAGGGGCAGATGGGGGAATCGGCGAGAGGGCTCCCAGACTCTTCACCGGACACCAGCGGGGAGAGCACTGGTCCTCCGCTACCCACGCCCTCCCTGCGCAGAAGACTTCCGCGCAGAGAAAGTAGGAGGAGACTGGGTGTCAAACAACTTTTATGTTGGAAAAGGTTTAAGAAATGCCCACTGACGGATTCTGCTAGCGACTGAGGCAGCCACGAAGTGAAGGGCTGCCCAGACTGAAAGGTTTAGCAAGGCAACAAAGCCTGGAGAGGCGGCAACTTACGCACGAGCAACCCCATACCATTATAATCACACACTAAAAACTTCCCCGAACAAGGTTGCCCATTTTATATTCCAATTAAAAATGTGGTAACATTTTGAACACACCCAGGACACTTATAGACAAAAACAGGTGCGTACAGTAGAACCTCAGTTGTCGAACGTAATCCATTCCGGAAGACCATTCGACTTCCAAAACGTTTGACAACCGAGGTGCAATGGGCAGTCGGAGAATTCAATTGAAAAAATTGAGAAACGCGCCTCAGAAGCCGTTCAACTTCCAGGAAATGGAAGCAATTACTTCCCGGTTTTCTGCGTTCGGGTTCTGAAACGTTTGGCTTGCAAGACGCTCGAAAACCAAGGTTTTACTGTAGCTTTCATTCTGCAAACCATAGATATTTACAGTGTTGAAAGGATAAGGCAATGTGCTCTAGAAGTGACTATGCTACTGAGAAGAGAAATGAAAGGTTTAATTTGTTGGAAGGGCCCTAACTATTTGCCATGTACTCGGGGAAGGGAAGTGTGTGGAAATATAAAAGCTGCTTCAAAAAAGAAAAACTTGCACGAAAATTATCAATGGCCCAAAGAGAAAGAAAGGCAGCATGCAGAGAGCGGCTGCTTGATAGTCTGGGCAATTTACTGTGAAGTGCCACTTGTACAAGGCACACCACAGCGCCATTGGCTTGAAAGGTTAATGACTGCGGCAATCACAGTTTCATTTTGCAGCAAATGGAGATGACAGGAAAGCCAGCTACAAAATGGCGCTCCCCTACTGTGATGGCAGTTTGGCAATGATTCATCAGCAATGGTACTGAAGACTGGGAAGCTGAACATCGCTGGAGGCAGCCTCGAAAGCCTGTGGTGTTGAAGACCCTATTAAATCTATTTTTCAATTACAATGTAAAAACTATTTTTTTAAAAAAAATAATTCTCCAGATTACTCAAGCTTTGGCATTACTCAACTCTAGTACAGCTCTTCTCAGTAGCTATTTACTTATCAGGCAATTTGGAGCTCTTCAATTCCTTTTCATTATTTCCGCTTCTTTGTACATTAGTTCCTGCCATGTAAATTTTAAATTATTACCCTATGCAAATCACACACTTATTACAACACATCCATAGCTCATCCACTATGTATATCTCCAACCCAGATTTCAAAATATGCAGTTAGCGATAGCCAGAAATGGCTGTGGATAGGCTCAGATAGCTTGGCACTATTTGATCCTCGGCCGCGTCATACCCCGTGCCAGCCAATCGGTGGGTGTGGGGGGCGTGGCCTCACCTACTTAGGTCTGGCGTGGCCGAGGACCTCCCTCTTTCCCACGCCGCAGCTGATCCAGTTTTCCCTACCCTCCCACCCTTTAGGCTAGGTTCTCTGACGTTGCTATGAACCTCGGTTGGTCACCTTCAAAGGGCATGGTAGGAATTTTTCCATCTGGAAGATTGGCTCCAGCCATTTGGTTTTTGCCTACCTCGTAGCAAACCGTCACAACTCCACGGTATGGGCGGTAGGCATTGGTGGGGGTACAGTCTATTGTTATGCTGATGAAGGGGGAGAGGGAGTGCCATCACCTTCTCCCAAATAAAGGGTAGTCCAGTAAAGGATTCCGGGGGGCGTGGCCTTGTCCTAAGCCTATGGAGGTGTGGGCCCATGGCACGCCCCCACGCGGTGACCCCAGGGGAGGTCCTAGTTGACGTGCCTCAGCAGGACTCCTCCCACTGGTGGTTAACCCTCACCGGCCAGGCCGGTTAGTTGTAGGACCAATGCCTAAGCCAATACCGCTCAATTCCTGTAATCAATAAAGCTGTGGCCTAATTTGACCCATTAACTCGAATTCTTGTGTCCTGTGTCTTTATTTCTATGGGGGGAGGCGGGAACTCGCCACGCAACATGGCTGACCTGTGTACTCAAGTAGCGGCAAGTTCACATTAGGAGATGGGTGACCCCTTCTGCAGGGTCAACCAGGACCACTTACGTTTTTGAACCCTCTGTACAGAATCTGAAGCTCCTTCTTTGTGAATCTGCTCTGTGCTTCCAGCAATTCAAGGGCTTCGGGTCGATGCCGCACAGTGGCCGTTTCCATTTCATCTTCTACGCTGTCTGTGAGACCAAACAGAAGGAGAAGTCAGAAGAAAACAACCCATTACTTGGGAATTGATCTCCAGTGCCTAAAGGATGTGGAAAATGAGGCAAAGGGGGTCTGAGAGTTGGCAAAGAATATCTTTATGAGCTTGCTTTTGGTAAAGGTGCCACTCACTTAACAGTAAGTAATAATAATAATAATAATAATAATAATATTTATTTATACCCCGCCCTCCCCAGCCAAGGCCGGGCTCAGAACGGCTTACAAGCAATAATAAAAATAAGTTGAATGATTACAACTTAAAAACAAAATTAAAATACAACATTAAATTATTGAAACATTAGAATCTTAAAATGTAGCCTCATTGCAGGAGGAGAAGGAAAGGAAAAAAGAAAGAGAGGGAGGGAATCAAATTGGCTCCAAGCCAAAGGCCAGGCGGAACAACTCTGCCTCACAGGCCCTGCGGAAAGAAATCAGATCCTGCCGGGCCCTGGTCTCATGAGACAGAGCGTTCCACCAGGCCGGGGCCAGTGTTGAGAAGGCCCTGGCTCTGGTTGAAGCCAATCTAACTTCCTTAGGGCCCAGGACCACTAGGGTGTTGCTATTTATGGACCTTGAGGCTCTCTGTGGGGCGTACCGGGAGAGGTGGTCCCGTAGGTATGAGGGTCCTAGGCTGTGAAGGGCTTTAAAGGTCAAAACCAGCACCTTAAATCTGACCCTGTACTCCACCGGGAGCCAGTGCAGTTTGAAAAGCACTGGGTGAATATGCTCCCATGGCAGAGGAGCCTCTCTGCAGCATTCTGCACCCGCTGGAGTTTCTGGGTCAGCTTCAGGGGCAGCCCTGCGTAGAGTGAATTACAGTAGTCAAGCCTGGAGATGACCGTCGCATGGATCACTGTGACCAGGTCGGGGCAGGAAAGGTAAGGGACCAACTGCTTGATGCGGCGAAGGTGGAAAAATGTCGCCTTGGCTGTTGCTGTAACTTGCGCCTCCATGGAAAGGGAGGTGTCAAGGATTACACCCAAACTCTTAACAGAAGGCAATGGCACTAATTGGGCCCCCGCAAGAGAAGGGAGTTGGTCCCTCATCCCCATGCCATGCCGACCCAGCCATAGGACCTCTTTGTTTATCTGGAACAGTTATAAAATTGTAGGAGTAACTGGGCACGAGAAGGGCTTGATTTCCTTCATGAGCGCAAATCATCCCATGGATGAGCAAATTGCAGGTGCAAGGTTAGCAAAGCCAGTTGCTATGGTAACGGCCCAGTGCCCCAACTATATCTGTAATTAATGCATATCAGCGCAGTAGTATCTGTCTGTCAGTGTCACATCTTGAATTGCTCAACTTATTTAGACCAACGGAGCTACTTTGTACTTGTATCTCTATCTATCTGTATCTGCAAAAGCCTGCAAGCTGTACATATTTACCGTATTTTTTGCTCTATAAGACTCACTTTTTCCTTCCTAAAAAGTAAGGGAAAATGTGTGTGCGTCTTATGGAGCGAATGCAAGCTGCGCAGCTATCCCAGAAGCCAGAACAGCAAGAGGGATTGCTGCTTTCACTGCGTAGCGATCCCTATTGCTGTTCTGACTTCTGAGATTCAGAATATTTTTTTCCCTTGTTTTCCTCCTCCAAAACCTAGGTGCGTCTTGTGGTCTGGTGCGTCTTATAGAACGAAAAATACGGTACATTCAGAACTCCTGAGCCTTACCTTCTGGAACAGTAAACTATCTGAATCTTTTTCTGCTTTTGTGTGGTGCCTGTTACTGGGAGTAACTTCCACTGTATGGGTATCTCACCTGAGATTCCTGCCAAAAATTGCATTCTACTACTGGAAAAAATTAGTTATAGCTACCCAATGTTGATTTTTGTTTTTATTGCCTGACCATGTGCTTTTGGACACTTCACGAGCAGGATTTTTTTTTTTTTTAAAAAAAGCAAAACACCAAGGTGTGCACACAGCTATCTGTGCACATGCCCTGTCAATACTTAATAGGCCTAACAAAATCAACTAATTAGAAGGCAGGGACAAACACAGAAGGGAACAAACAGTAAAGACTCCTCCTATACCAATTCAAGTATGTGTGAGTGCGGACTACTCCAGTCTAATTAGAATGTGGGGGTTGGGGGAGAGAAGCTAAATAATGTCCAAAAGTAGGCAAGCTCCAAATGAAGGCTTGTCCCGTCAGAAGAGATGAGAAGACTGACAGCAATGTTTTTCAAAATCTCAAAATTGCAGCTTTAAAAAGTTGTAGCTCTGGTTGGCTATCCCTTTCTTTCTCTCTCTCTCTCTCTCTCTCTCTCTCTCTCTCTCTCTCTCTCTGTAATTAACTTTCCCCTCCACCTTTTCCCAAAAAACCACAATAAAATAGAATATTTTTCTTCAAGGATGCCACTGAAGTTTTGTTTGAAGTGTTCTGCCATCCCAAAAAGTTTGAGATGCACTGATTTAAAGTTTTTTTCTTTTTCTTTTTTTAAAAAAGAACACCTGGATTTTAACTCATTTACATTTGTTAAATGAGTTACATTTAACTCATTCACATTTGGTGTTTTATTGCAAATATATGCTGCAACAGGTTCTTGAGACAGTACTAGTAAAATTAGGGGTAGATTTATTCTGCTTTATTAGTTGTTCTGCAAATGCTACCACATTACTGATGTCTGGAGGGACTACAGTGCATATATATACATATATATATATCCAGAACATTTGAAGTTTGAAAAGTTATGGGATTTAAGCAGGAAGTTACAGGATGTGCTGGTTGGAAATGAAGCAGTATAACCACTATAAAACTTTTTCAGCTACAATTAATATTGCAAGTGGGATTGTGAAAGAATCAGCAGCACAAATAATCATCAATGTGTAATTAAAAAGACTTCTGGTAGGACCCTTTTCCATTGGATCCAATGTGTGTACTCAAAAATAAGTTCTTATCATTAAGTATGGTTACCAGGAAAGAAATCCTAGCGTCTAATGTTTACTAGACTCACTGGGATATATTTGTGAGTAAACCTGAATGGGATTTGGCTATAAATTAGCTAAAATCCTAGGCCTGGTTCAACATGTTTATCACTTGATGACTGCAACGTCAAGCGATGTGCCACCACAAACCCAACATTCATATCACCTCACATCACTGCGTGTGTGAATCAGTCATAGTTATAAACCTCAGAGTTGAATGAAAAGCAAGATCATTTACAGAGCCATTTTGAAAGAAGAAAAGTCTTATTGCAAAGCAATCCTGCAAGGATGAAAAAGGCAAAGCAAGTAGGATGACAGGATCAAATGCAGTCCTCACAATTGAGGTCCAGCACTGAGGGCCTTCTGGCGGTTCCCTCACTGCGAGAAGCCAAGTTACAGGGAACCAGGCAGAGGGCCTTCTCGGTAGTGGCGCCTTCCCTGTGGAACACCCTCCCACCAGATGTCAAAGAGAACAACAACTACCAGGCTTTTAGAAGACATCTGAAGGCAGCCCTGTTTCGGGAAGCTTTTAATGTTTGATGTATTATAGTATTTTAATATTCTTTTGGAAGCCGCCCAGAGTGGCCGGGGAAGCCCAGCCAGATGGGCGGGGTATAAATAATAAATTATTATTATTATTATTATTATAATTGGTATCTCACATTGTTTTATCCTGCTTATGGAAAAGCTGAAACATCAGTGCAAGGATCACTTTAGATCAGCGTTTCTCAACCTGTGGGTTCCCAGATGTTGTTGGACTACAACTCCCATCATCCCTGAGCTCTGGCCTTGCTAGCTAGGGGTGATGGGAGTGGTAGTTCAACAACATCTGGGAACCCAGAGGTTGAGAAAAACTGCTTTAGATGATACAGCTGATCAGACTTTCACTGATATTGCTGAACAACCATAATGAACCGACTCTGGTCTGAAAAGGAAACAAACCACGATGTGGCAGAATTCAGCTATGCAGAATTCCGTTATCTGGGTCACTGGGTTGTAGCTGTCATACTCAGAATAGGCCCACTGAATTTAATGAACATTATTAACACAGGTCCCTTAATTTCAATGGGTCTACTCCGAGCAACACTTAGTTGGACACAGCCCTCTGTATCAAAACATCAAAAAGATGGTGGTCTAAGGAGGCAATGGGACGTTTAATAGAGCTTTCCAGCTAATTTCAATTAACAGGAACAGACGGCAATGATGATATTTAGTGCCTACTGAACACTACAAGATTAAAAGCACTAGGAATAACACACAACTAGTTGTTCCTCATCCTCTTAGAACAGTCAGTGTAGATCAGGCACCCCCAAACTTGGCCCTCCAGATGTTTTGGGACTACAACTCCCATCATCCCTAGCTAACAGGACCATTGGTCAGGGATGATGGGAATTGTAGTCCCAAAACATCTGGAGGGCCGAGGTTGAGGATGCCTGGTGTAGCTAAAACAAAATGCAACTAATCCAGAACGCGGCAGCTAGACTGGTGACTGGGAGCGGCCGCCAAGACCATATAACACTGGTCTTGAAAGACCTACATTGGCTCCCAGTACGTTTCCGAGCACAATTCAAAGTGTTGGTGCTGACCTTTAAAGCCCTAAACGGCCTCGGTCCAGTATATCTGAAGGAGTGTCTCCACCCCCATCGTTTTACCTGGACACTGAGGTCCAGCACTGAGGGCCTTCTGGCGGTTCCCTCACTGCGAGAAGCCAAGTTACAGGGAACCAGGCAGAGGGCCTTCTCGGTAGTGGCGTCCTCCCTGTGGAACGCCCTCCCACCAGATGTCAAAGAGAACAACAACTACCAGACTTTTAGAAGACATCTGAAGGCAGCCCTGTTTAGGGAAGCTTTTAATGTTTGATGTATTACAGTATTTTAATATTTTTTTGGAAGCCGCTCAGAGGGGCTGGGGAAGCCCAGCCAGATGGGCGGGGTATAAATAATAAATTATTATTATTATTAAAATGGCAGTGGGCCATTTATAGCTTGAGACATTGGGGCTTACTCTCAAGTATGCATAAAACTAAGAATTTAATGACAGAGCATTCCATGGAAGTAAGAATAATTTTGAGAATCTGTATGCTCTGGAAACAGAGAATCATAGAATCATAGTATTGGAAGGGTCTCTACGGGTCATCTAGTCCAGGTTTCCTCAAACTCGGCCCTCCAGATGTTTTTGGCCTACAATTCCCATGACCAGTGGTCAGGGATGATGGGAATTATAGTCTCAAGACATCTGGAGGGCCGAGTTTGAGGAAGCCTGATCTAGTCTAATCCCCTGCCAATGCAGAAATCTCAACTAAAGAAGAAGAAGAGTTTGGATTTGATATCCCGCTTTATCACTACCTGAAGGAGTCTCAAAGCGGCTAACATTCTCCTTTCCCTTCCTCCCCCACAACAAACACTCTGTGAGGTGAGTGAGGCTGAGAGACTTCAGGGAAGTGTGACTACCCCAAGGTCACCCAGCAGCTGCATGAGGAGGAGCGGAGACACGAACCCGGTTCCCCAGATTACGAGTCTACCACTCTTAACCACTACACCACACTGGCTCCAAGACAGTCCAAGACAGCATCCAAGAAAGATGGCCATCCATCTTCTGCTTCAAAACCTCCAAGGAAGGAGAGTCCACCACCTTCTGAGGGAGTCTGTTCCACTATCAAACACTTCTTACCACCAGAAAGCTCTTCCTGATGTTTAGTCGGAATCTCCTTTTTTGAAACTTGAATCCATTGGTTTGAGTCCTACCCACCGGAGCAAGAGAAAACATCCAAATCAGAAGAAGAAAAAGAGGTGTTGGAGCTCACCCTTGTTCTCTTAGAATGGCAATGATGACCATCTGAGAGGTGCTGGAGCTAAGATCCCGTGTGCTCCAGCTGAAAAAAAAAGCCTTGCTTGGTATACTTTTTCAGCACTGCCTTACAATGCAGTTGCACAGGTCTTCCTTTCCCACACCCCTATCCTGGCTTGCTTTTGTCATGTAAAGCTGGTGCAGAGGGCTTCAGGTACAGTAGGTGTCACCCTATTTTTCGCTCCATAAGGCGCACCTGACCATAAGGCGCACCTACTTGAGGAGACTCTTGAGAGTCCCATGGACTGCAAGAAGATCAAACCTATCCATTCTGAAGGAAATCAGCCCTGAGTGCTCACTGGAAGGACAGATCCTGAAGCTGAGGCTCCAATACTTGGGCCACCTCATGAGAAGAGAAGACTTCCTGGAAAAGACCCTGATGTTGGGAAAGATGGAGGACACAAGGAGAAGGGGACGACAGAGGACGAGATGGTTGGACTGTGTTCTCGAAGCTACCAGCATGAGTTTGACCAAACTGCAGGAGAGAATGGAAGACAGAAGTGCCTGGTGTGCTCTGGTCCATGGGATCACGAAGAGTCGGGCACGACTAAACAACAACAACAACAACAACTTTGGGGGGGGGAATTCAAGAAAAAATATATGCGGCTCTTGGGGGCTTTTGCTGGAGGTGGGGGAAGTGAGAGAGCCTCGCTCTGTCCCTTCCCCCACCTCCCGCAAAAGCCAGGGATATCTGCGCAAAGCCTCCCCAGGGCAGCGGGATGAAGCCTCCCCGCTGCCCTGCGGAGGCTTCGTGGGCTACTCCAGAGCTGCTCAGGAGCTTGGCAGGGCTGGCGGTGGGGGAAGCCTAGCTTTCCCCCACCCCCAGCCCCAAAGAGCAGGTCGGGGCTGGCAGGGGAAGTCCGGGTTCCCCCCCCCCAGCCCCAGGGACCACACATTCACTCCATAAGACACACAGACATTTCCCCTTAGATTTTAAGAGGGGGAAAGTGCGTCTTATGGAGTGAAAAATACGGTATTTCCTCTCTGAAAGTTGCTTCTCCCCCAAAGAAGTAAAAAAACAAAAACAAAAACCCAGGCAAAACTCCCTTTTATCCGTTGGGATGAAAAACAGAGTGGGGGTGTGCGCGCGCAGTTTTGAATAGACAAATTGCTAGGAAAGAAAGGGTTAAACAAATTCTCTCCACACCCCCCCACTGCTTTACATAATAAGAAAGTAAGTGGGGGGATTTATCACATGAAATTCCTCCCTGAGTAAGCCATAAGCTAAGAAGCTGGCACATTTATCAGGCAGGAGGGTGTTGTGTGCCTTAAACCCTGTTTTGCCTGCTTAATCTGACACCTGAATCTCCCCCCCCCTTAATCCATAGCTGTCAATGTTTTCCTTTTTTTAAGGGTAATTCCCTTATTCCGAATAGGATTCCTTGCAAGAAAAGGGAAAAGTTGACAGCTATGCCCTAATCCATGACTATCACTTATACCAGGGGTCAGCAAACCTTTTCAGCAGGGGGCCGGTCCACAGTCCCTCAGACCATGTGGTGAGCCAGACTATATTTTGAAAAAGAATGAATGAATTCCTATGCCCCACAAATAACCCAAAGATGCATTTTAAATAAAAGCACACATTCTACTCATGTAAAAACACCAGGCCGGCCCCACAAATAACCCAGAGAGGCATTTTAAATAAAAGGACACATTCTACTCATGTAAAAACACGCTGATTCCCGGACCATCCGCGGGCCGGATTTAGAAGGCGAATGGGCTGGATCCGACCCCCGGGCCTTAGTTTGCCTACCCATGACTTATACCGCTGCCCATTCAGTTAATGCCTACCTTTTTCAAGGTTAGACCCTTCTGCATCCTGTAATGTATTTGAGCTCCTAGCTAACTATCAAGAACATTTGTTTAATGCTTTTCCATTGAGGAATTCATCCTTGCATAGCTCAGAAATGAATGTACCCCAGAAGTCTTCAACATCACAATCGTTGCACCTATTTTTCTTTTCTTATGGTGTCCCCCCCCCCCGCCCCCGATGCCAGCAATATACTTAAGCGGAAATGAAAAAGCATAATTCACAGGATGTATTTTTTAAAAAAAAGAACCCAGGGGCAAAAACATCAATAAATCTGCTACCTTTTGTTTTCAGGTACTGGCTGATTCCTCTATAGAAATGTAATCTGAGCCAAAACAGCAACATAGCAGCGTAACAAAAACAAGGATAATGACTTACTTGGTATCATGTGGAACAGCATTTCAGCAGACTTTTTGTCCAGTTTAATGAAACCTATTCCCAATTAAAGCAACTCAATTATATCAAATCAACACTTTAGGCCCTCGTCCAACTGAATTCCCATTGACAATAACAGATGATATTCATAACTAACACATTGCCCTGGTTTTAATGGGGCATGGCTTTGTTCTCCTAACGAAATGGTGAAGCTGTCTCAGGTGGGAAGCCACTTGGTCAAATTATCCTCCATTCCTTGCACAAAGAAAATGAAGGCTGCTGCTAAAATTAGGCTAACAAGAGCGCCAGGTGTGTGGGGTTGAGTTCCATTGAGATCACAGGTGGGGAAGGGAAGTTTAACCTTTCTTGTCCCAGCTGTGGTCCCAATGTAAAGTGTGTGAGTGTGTGCGTAAATGCATAATTTAAGGGAGTCGGCAGGAAGAACCCTGCCATACTTTCCAACGACACATTTAGCATCAGTTTGGCACTAACGTCTAGAGCGCTAATGTCACATTTACTAAAACGCCAATGACTCTGCTATGCTGTGGCACACGAAATTTAAAACGCCACTCTGAAGCTGTGGCAGCAGCCGACAGCAACATCTCTCCAAAGGGCACTTGTCTGTCTGTACAATTATCCACCTTTTATACTCGTTTCCACTTTTCTCTGAAAGTTTAATTGACCCCAATCTGCAGCGACTGCAGAAGCCTGGAACTTCTGTTTCTCCCCCCTGCTTAAGCATTGACAAACGAGACAGTGTTTTGCAAGTGGCTTCCTCCAGATCTAGCCCACTGGTCTCATGAACATTTACGGAGCTCCTTCAGTCCTAATCAAATATATATATGTGCAAGGAAGTCATGCCACACAGGTCAATGGAGCTTATTTCCAAGGTTGAAGGGACCACAATCAAGTGTTGAGTTAAGATAGTGACTGAGAGCTAATCTGCATTTAAATGCACAGTCATAGAGTAAAAAATGCTCCTGGGCTGTACCATTTCAGATTGCAAGTGGGAGAATCACATTTCTGAATTTTGCCTCATATTTAAAAATCCCCACATAGAGAGAGTTGGCATGTCAGATACAAGGTTCTAGCTTAGCCATCTTCCCCATGTGCTAGCTTCCTGAGTACCAGGAGGTTGTTTCATAGGACAGCACTTTTACCTGTCACCCTGGTATATAGCACAACATGGTACGCACCAGGAGCAGGTTCACTAAATGATGTATATAAAAGGTAAAGGGACCCCTGACCATTAGGTCCAGTCGTGGCCGACTCTGGGGTTGCGGCGCTCATCTCGCTTTACTGGCCGAACTTCCGGGTCATGTGGCCAGCATGACTAAGCCGCTTCTGGCGAACCAGAGCAGCGCACGGAAATGCCGTTTACCTTCCCGCCAGAGCGGTACCTATTTATCTACTTGCACTTTGACGTGCTTTTGAACTGCTAGGTAGGCAGGAGCTGGGACCGAGCAATGGGAGCTCACCCCATTGCGGGGATTCAAACCGCCGACCTTCTGATCGGCAAGTCCTAGGCTCTGTGGTTTAACCCACACCACCACCCACGTCCCAAATGATGTATATACACTGGCTCTTATTCTCTGAGGTCAAACGACACATTACACTTAATGTGTAGCCTGCAGCTAAGTATGGGTTTACGTCTTACTCAAAAGAAAGTGCAGAGGACATGATCTAGTTTGGGCCAGCAATGTGTGGGGAGGGGAGGTTTCATATTTCCCTCCCCAGTTAAGACCCCCCCCCAAAAAAGAGAAACTTATCTTTCTCTCTGTGATTTTTTTTTTAAAGGCCTTATTTTTAAAATGTTTCATTGGGGCATAGCTAGGGAATGAGGATTAAAACTTCTCTCCACATGTACTGTGATACCAATTCAGATTCCGCCCCATAACTTTTAAGTAAGAAAAGATCACATACGAAGCTGCCATCTGGATATTAGATGTAATTCATGCAGAGAATCTAAGGTGTTAGGACTGGAGTGCAAGTCATTTGTGGACTGCAAATTTCAGTAAATACATTAATATGCATCTCTAAATTTAAATAATTATTATGCACAGCACAGTGAATATTAAGATGTTCTAAATTAAAAATTAAAGGCTTTGTAGAGTATGCACAATTCAAATATTTCTCATTTGCATTTGAAAATTAAATCTCCCTTTTCTGATTACAAAAGGAAGGAGCAAGCACCGCTGTTCAGTATTCAAGAGGCACCAAGCTCCAATTTTCAAGTCATGATAAACAGCCTGTGAAAATTTGCTAGAACCTGCCATGCAAGCTCAATGTCACAGGTAATCCATTTTTTAAACAGACAAGTTTATGCTCCACTAATTTGTAACTTAAAAATTTGTTCCAGAAAGAACTGATTAAGTGGGTTTCCAATTTGCATCCAACAAAATGGCAAATTGGCCACTGCAAATTCTTTTCCTCAGAAGAAGAGAGTTCTAAATGCTACTATGCAAATCTAAATCGCTGTCATTCTTTCAAGGTCCAGTTCCTAAAGTTTGGAGAAGCAGGATCTGTTTATAATATATATTCTTCCAATAGCATCATAAAATACGAACATTATAGACTAGGATCATTCTCCCAGAACAGTTTAAGAACTAACCCCCTGAGAAAATGGGAGAAGACTAAAACTGGGGAATGGGCACCTCCATTGCTATGAAGCAGATCCACACCATACATTTAAAGCACATCCAACACACATTTAAACCCTATCACTTCCCCCCAGCAAATCCTGAGAATTGTAGTTTGTTAAGGGTGCTGAGAAAGCGTGTTCTCCATAATAGAGAGCACGTGTTGCAGTGGGGGCCAAAAAGGCCACCCCACTGTTGTTGGGCAAATTGGCCACGTGCTGTGATTGGGCAAGGAGTGTTGCTGGGGAGAATGTTATGCTGCTAAAGTGTGGCAGGGGTCAGAGGTCTTAAATACAGGGCTCGCAGCCTGGGGCCTTCTCTCGGGCTGCGTGCACCGGATCACCCGCCCACCCTCCCTGAAAAAGGGGGGTTCGTTGTCCTCTGACCTTGCTATGCCTATCATGGGGTCGTCTGCCTTGGGGCAGGGGCCTGGTAGGAATTTTGTCCATTTGGCTGATTGGCTGGTGCCATTTGGTTTTTGCCTACTGCGTAGCAAATCATCACAACTTGTAAGGTTGGCGGTTAGGCATTGGTTCAAATTGGTTGGTGGAGGGGTAAGTGCCTACCCCTCCAATGGCGGTGCTGAAAGGGAACTCCGTTAAAGGAATCCAGGGGCTTGCCATCCCTTTCGTCCTTGTCCCTGGCATCGGACTTGGGCCGTGCAAGCCCCAGGGGGCATGAGGGTGAGAGATGGGGGACTGATGTCCAGCTTCATTTCTCCCCAATATGGTTCTCCCTCACTGGCTTCCGCTGGAATCTGGAATCAGTTCTGTCCCTGGGGCAAGGACAGATAGTCGTAACCAATGCTTAAGCAACCACTCACGTGTGTGCATTTAAATAAAGTTGTGGCCAAATTTATGCCAAAAACCTTAAACAAAAATTGATGTGTGAAGTGTGAGTTATTGGGGTGGCCTGGGGGACCTCGACGCGCAACTGTAGCTCTGTGTGGGGAAGACCACAGTCCTCAGGATTCGTTGGGAAAAACACTTGTTTTACATGTGATTTGGGTGTGCTTTAAATGTTTGGTGCACATCTGCCCATTATCTACTGCTACAAACACTATTCTGACTGATCACAACAGGAGCTGTTTGTTCTACACGTATGTTGCTCCTTTGGAGAGTTATAAATGGAGAGCCAACATCTTTGCTCTGGGCTATCTCAAAACTACAGTATATCCTAATAGTGAACTCTTCTTCTAAATGTAGCAACAACAACAACAACAAAAATTTATTTATACCCCACCCTTCCCAGTTCAGAAAACCGGGCTCAGGGCAGCTAACAACAAATTCAAAACACTTAATTGATGCAACAAAAACAGCATAAAATACAGTATAAAACGTGAATAACAATAAATTCAGAATTCAAAAATCAATTTAGGGGGAAAATCCATCCAATAAACATTAGATGATCACCAGGGCTAGCTGGCTAAATTAGTCCTATTTGGGCCAGCGAGGAGACGAGGGGAGAATTAGCGGTGGGATCCCAGAGCAGGTAATCTTCATAAAAAGGGGGAGGGGGAGGGAAGGAAGGGGAATAAAAGATCAGGCTAAGTTCAAATTGAAAGCCAGGCGGAATAGTTCTGTCTTACAGGCCCTGCGGAAGGAAGTTAAATCCTGCAGGGCCCTGGTGTCATGGGACAGAGCATTCCACCAGGTTGGAGCCATCACTGAGAAGGCCCCGGCCCTGGTGCAGGATAGTCTGACTTCCTTAGGGCCCGGGACCCTAAGCCACAAAGCACCTTAAACCTGACCTGATATTCCACCGGGAGCCAGTGCAACTGGTAAAGCACTGGGTGAATATGCTCCCATGGCAGGGACCCCATGAGGAGCCTCGCTGTAGCATTCTGTAGCCAAAACAGCACCATCAATGTGCATGAAGGAAGTATCCACAGGCTTGGGAAAACGCTACCATATGCAAAATCACACAAACTCACATTCCACACACCGAAAACAATTTAAGGTAAACATTTAAATGGGGGGCAGCGTGATGAGGACTGTGCATGCTCAGAATCCACAGAACCCTGGCTGTTGAGAAGGGGAAACATGAAAATCAGAAGTACAGCGAAGCAGAGTGTCCTGGAAGAATTCCAGAATAGGAACATCCCATGCCACAACTATTTTCTCACAGGTCCTACTTGTTCTATTCTAAAGTGTGATGGTGAAGTATTTACCCCACATCCCCAGAACAAACCAAAGACAATTTGACCCCGAAGAGCCATATTTACGCTATTACTTCAATCAAACAGCCTCATTTACTAAACTTTTGCCCAGGTCAGGCTGGTTTGCCAGATGTACTCCTCTTTCTGGCACGGTCAGAACTGGCTATGGTGACACATGCATTAGTTATACCACAGCTAGATTACCATAACGTGCTCTGGGTGGGGCTGCCCTTGAAAGCCCACCCCTGAGATTTCAACTGGTACAAAATCCCACTGCTAAAATTCTGACTGAGGCAAAGCAGCTGGGTATGAAGTGGGGGGCAGAGGGGCGGGCTGCCCTGGGGGCCACTCAGGGGGGTGACAAGATGGCCCCTACCTCCCTCCAGCTGTAGAGCAGCCGAGGGTGCACACAGTCAGTATGGGCGCCATTTGCGCAGCATCCATACAGACGTCCGTATGGGCTGCCGCTCTAGTGCATTTTGATCTGTGTGGAGCTGCCACGCGTGGCTGGAAACCAGTCCAGATGAGGGTACAACTGACACATTGCTATTATTATCTGTACGGACAACTGTATGGATGGCAAGTGCGAGTGGCAGTCCATATGGAGTGTGCATGTGTGGCATCCCGTACGGAGTGCGCATGCATGGCCGCACATGTGCACTCCGTATGGTCACCGGGCACACGTGTCACCGGGCGGTTTGCCCCGCCCCTCGGCGTCCCGCCCCGGGTGCTGGAGAGGGTTCCTCCACCACTGAGGCCAAGTGCTGGGATCATGCGACCTCATTATTGCACAGGCTGCCCCTTCGTTGCCAAGCACAATTTATGGTGCTGGTTCTAAGCCTTTTACAGCTCGGGACCAAGGTACTTGTGGGACTTTCTCCTCCAATATGAATCTGCCCATTAAGGTCCACTGATTCAGCCCTCCTGCACATGCTATTACTTTCTGAGGCACAGCTTGTGACAATGCACAAGAGACAGGGCTGGTTCATGACGTTTTGCTGCTTGAGGCAGAACAGAAAATGGTGTCCCCACTTGCCCCCTTCTACTTCGAGGTACAAGATCTACGACAGAAGCCACAAACAGAAAACTTATTCAAATTGTGTCCAAAAGGTAAATGTTACGCATGAGAGTTTCACTTAGTAAATGAATAAATGCTTAAGTCAAGAAAGAACTTAGCCTATGAAGTTGAATGTACACCAAAATCTTGCGGAAAAATTTCCTGAAGAAAGAAATTAAATATTATAGCTTAAGCCAAGAAGGAATGTAACATATGGACTTTAATGTTTATAAATATATCGAAACCGTGAGAGAGAATTTACTGAAGAAGCCTGAGACTCTTCATGGGCGAAACAAACTTATCTTCGTTGATATCTAACCCTTGAGCGTAACATCGCCGACACTTCATTTGATCAAACTTACCTTTATTGATATCTACAGGAGCCTGGCTAAAGAAACTTTAAAGACTGAATTTTCCTTTTGGACACAATTTGAATGAGTTTTCTGTTCGTGGCTTCTGTAGTAGATCTTGTACCTTGTTCTCTCAATTTTTGGATTATTAATATAAGATTTAGAATGTAGAATGGTTTGGTAGTGTTTTGTTTGCCACTGAGGCAACTGCCTCATGGGTCCTGAAAAGAGGCATTTTAAAAATCTATGGTGGCTCCCCAATAACTCTTTACAGTGGTACCTTGATTCCCAAACGTAATCCGTTCCGGAAGTCCATTCCAAACCCAAAGCGTTCCAAAACCAAGGCGCACGTTCCCATAGAAAGTAATGCAAAATGGATCAATCCATCCCAGACTTTTACAAACAACCCCCAAAACAGCAATTCAACATGAATGTTACTATCTAATGAGACCACTGATCCATAAAATGAAAGCAATAAACAATGTACTGCAGTCACACAATCAGTCAACCAGTAGCTGAACTGGGTTCCACACAGTCGCAAAAACAAACAAAAAAGTCGCAAAAACAAAAACGCAAAATAAATAGCAAAAACAGACAGACCTTGGCATAACACTCAAAATGGAGCATGTTCAGCTTCCGAAAAAGTTCGCAAACCAGAACACTTAATTCTGGGTTTGCAGCTTTTGGGTTCCAAGTTGTTCGAGTACCAAGGCGTTTGAGAACCAAGGTACCACTGTACTTCCATCCTGCTAGGAGCTAAACACTTTTTATTTACTGCTGCAATTGTAAGGAAGTTTGGTAGCAGTGTGGTCAAGATGACTTTAGCCACTATTAAGGTTCTCCTCATCAGAGGAAACCTGGTAAGTTTTCAAGTCTTCCCCAAAACACAGTTCATAACCTACTTCTCCAGACTGTTAGAAAGATGTTGGAAAAAGAAAATTAGGCAGTTTTGGTAGATATGAGATAAAGGATTAAGTAAAAATGAGCTGATGAAATTGATGAAACAGAGGATGTTTAATTATAATATTTAAATTAAAATACGTAAATGAAAATAAGGTTGGAAGGATTTGCTGAAAAAAACGATCTGAACTAGAATACAAAATTGGGAGGTGAGAGGAGGTCAAGGAAATAAGTAAAGGGAAAAAGTTATGTAAAGGTTTAATTTGCTTTTGTCCTATTTTAATTCAATGCATTTTTATATCTTTTGTTTTGTTTTTTGTATTCTATTTTATTGTTCTTTGTTTTTTCTTTCTACTTTTTGCTCTGTTATGGTTAAATTTTTCTTTGTATTTTGTACTGTTTTTTCTCTCTCTTTTTTTTGTAACTTTAAACTTGGAATAAATATCATTAAAAAAAAAAAAACATAACCTACTTCTCCAACCATCTACCAGCTTTGTGAAAGTCATGGAGGCCCATTACTACAGAATCCATCAAGTTAATTCAGTCTTTGAAATGGTATCTTCTCAAACACTCCAAGGTTGTAAAACAGATAT